CAGAGAGGATAGCAACTGGAGTAAAGAAACAACTTCATGAGACTGTAGAAGTAATCAGATCAGAAATAGCATTTCAGATAAAAGAAGAAATCACAAACATAATGAAGAATTGCTGAGCATATCTAAAGAAGACATAGATAAAAAAGAGGAATGTAGGGAAATGATGGCAACCTTGAATGAACAATATAGGAAGGAATTAGGATATATGAACCAGATTCAAAGAGATATCCAGGAAATTAAAAAATTGACTGAAAGCTGGCAAAACCACTTGAAAGAGATTGAAGGTAGACTTTCAGACCTTGAAGACAGAGCTGAGCTAGTGATTATTAGAGAGCTCTTAAAAATAACCAAAAGGAACCAAGAAATAGCAGTTCATTGGCTACAAGAGAACACAAAAATAATTTAAGAGTAATAGGCATCAGCGAAGCCGGGTACAGTGGTGCATGCCTGTAATCCCAAAACTTCAGAGGCTGAAGCAGGAGGATTATTGCAAGTTTGAGACTGGCCTGGGCTACAAAGTGAGCCCAATGCCAGCCTAAACTGCATAGTGAGACTCTGTCTCAAAAAAAAAAGTGAGTAAGTATCAGCAAAAAAGCAGAGGTGTCAACACAAATGAGATAAAAAGAGTAGTCTACAGCCATACCACCCTGAACATGCTTGATCTCATCTGATCTCGGAAGCTAAGCAGGGTCGGGCCTGGTTATTACTTGGATGGGAGATAAAAAGAGCATTTACAGAAGTAGTAGCAGAAAAATTACCAAATTTGGGGAAAGGATCTGGTATACAGATAAGTGAGGCATATAGAACTCCTACTAGCCATAACCAAAATAATTCTACATTCAGACATATAATAATCAAGATCCCAGAAATATAGCACAAGAACAGAGTATTAACAACCCAAAAACATCAAGTTAAGAGAAGTTTGGAGTAAAGTGTTTCAAATCCTGAAAGAAAACAACTTCCAACCTAGATTGATGTGTCCTGCAAAACTGTCTTTCAAGATTGATGGAAAAATAAAATACTTCCATGATAAAGAACAACTGAAGTAATTCATGACCACCAAGCCAGTGTGCCATCCTCCTCCCAGCCCCATGAGAGAAGACCCTTCTCACCTACACTGCACATCGCATCCCTGTCACTGTGCAGTAGGGGATATAGCACTGTTGGACCTCCTCTCTGCACAGTCTCCACCACCTCCCAGAGCAGCAGCCGGCTCCGCCCTAATCTGCCCCTTCCAAGGGCCTCAGACACAACTCTGTGTGTGTGTGTGTCCATCCATGCATGCCCAGTAGTTGGGTCAGCTCTTTGTGCTCACAGAACTGGCCCTCTCCCTTCAGGCTGCCTCTTTTTTGTTTCAGAAATATTCATGTGAAGAAATTTTCACCTAAAATTTTAATGAGTCAAAATAAATTTTTAAGCATCTTGAGTTCTTGATGCTTTATTATCAAAATACCGCTGTAGACCATTAAAAATAGCTATTGAAAATTACAAAATTTAATTCCACTACTTGGGAGGCTAAAGCAGAAGGATTTTGAGTTTGAGGCCAGCCTAGATTACAGAGTGAGGCCCTGCTTTAAAGAATGAAAGTAGCGTTTTCTACCACCTCCCCTCCCCTTAGCACTGCTCCAGCTGTACCTCACTCACCCTCAGCTCCCAGCTCTTACTAAGCTGTCTTCTGCCAGCTACCACCGTGATTATCTATCAGGATCTCATCAGCCACAATGAGATGTTCTCTGATATTTACAAGACCTGGGAGATCGTGGACAGGCTGTGCCTGGAGGTGGAGGGACAAGATGATCAGTAGAACAAAGGGTAGCATTGATGACCTTTTCATTGGTAGATACACCTCCACTGAAGGTCTAGAGGGCAAAGGCTCCAAAAGCACAGCAGTCACTGGTGTTGATATGTCTGAACTATCATTTGCAGCAAACCAGCTTCACAAAGAAGCCTACAAGAAGTACATCAAAAATTATATGAAATCAATCAAAGGCAAAGTTGAAGAAAAAGACCAGAAAGAGTAAAACTATTTATGACAGGAGCTGCAGAACAAATCAGACACATCCTTGCTAATTTCAAAATCTGTCAGTTCTTTATTGGTACAAATATGAATCCAGATGGCATGGTTGCTCTCCTGGACCACCGTAAGGATGGTGTGAACCCATTTATGATTTTCTTTAAGGGAAGTTTAGACATGGAAAAACGTTAATGGATTCAGAGATTACTTTGGATCTATCACTTGTCCTAACTGGCTGCTGCTTGTCATTCACACAGCAACAGGATTTTAAATAAACAGGACTGATGTCATCTTGAGCATTTTTTTATTTTGGCCATTGATTTATTTGGAGAGGAGGCATTATTTTTTTAGGAAAAACACATGTGTCAAGTAGGTTGTCTAAAAATAAAGTGCACTTAAACTCATTTGAGAGAATGCCTCATAGTTTAATACATGTATAAACTGAGTCCATTGTAGTGTTTGTGGAGAAGTCAGAACCTAATCACAGATCACTGTTAAAAAGCATAAGACTGTCTTCATATAACTTCTGCAGTGGAAACTATTTCTGAGACTGGAACATAAAACAAGAATCAAAGTGTTAATTCTGAGCTACGGTGAAGGGGAAAAGACTGTGTTGTGCCCGGCAGTGCCAACATTTGAAGTAGAGCCTATATGTTTCATTACCTACAATGGAAGTAGTTAACCCTGGCAGATATTATCAAAAGAATAAAAATACTTAACTAATTGGACAAAAAATAAAAATAAAAAACAAAAGCAGAGAGGAAAACCAGTACCTCCCAACAATCAGCCATACTGAGACTGGGAGGACCTACCAAGAAATCAGCCTGCCAGCCTTTCTGCCTTGAGACCGGTGGTCTGAGCATCTCTTGGGAAGATGACCATATGCAATATAGCAAATATGGGGGATTTTCTTCTATCTTGTCTTTGAAGGCCAATATTGTTCTCACTGTTTTGCTTTGTTCTGATTGTTTTTGCTTTACTCAGTATTCTGTTTTGATTGGTTTTATTCTATTTTGTTTTTGGTTTGATTTTGATATAGGTGATGGAATGGGCAACTTTTTGTGAAGATAACAAGGTATACTATGGTAGCTAGTGTTTTCCTAGTGTCCTGCTTTGAAGTTCTGTGTCAATTTTGCTGCAGTATTTTGACTGGCTTTGTTCCGTTGTATTTTACTGTCTTTAAAATAAGAAAATGAAAGCAAAATACTAACAAATGATACAAAAAATACGTTTTAATGAAAACCATCCTGCTTCTGCTTCTCAAGTATTCCTTGAGTTGCTGTGAACTAAATAGTGTCTGATTCACAACTCATAACAATTTGTTTTTTGTCTTGTTGAGACAGGATTTCACTGTGTAACTGAGGTTGGCCTTGACCTCTCAGTGATCCTTTCTGCCTCAGCCTCCTAAGTGCTGAAATAACAGGCATGTACCACCACACTCAACCTCATAACCATTTTAAAAGACTCCCCCAAACTCTTTCTTCCTCCAGGCTTACAGTGTGTACAGTACATTCTGTGAGATTGTTACAAATCCACAATCCCTTGTCTCAGTGCTCAAATGCAAAAAAAAAAAATCTGAAAACCAAACATTCTGTAACTCACTTATCAGCAAAACCAGACCAAACCAAAAAGACCTTATTTATAGCTGTTAGTTTTTCTGCCCTTAAGAACTTTTTTTTAAATTTTAGAATAAAACCAAGCAAAATAAAATGGAATAAAGCCAACCAAAATGAGAGTGCGACACAAGATTTCTAAACAAGATAGTAAGAAATCAATAATGGTTACCATAATGCCTCTTGTTGTCTTCAAAATAGCTGCCCATAGCCTCAGACCTAGTAAAATCAAATAAAATAGAAACAAATAAAAACAAACTAGTGAATGTAATACAAGACTTCAAAGCAAGATATAGTATATCAAAAATGGTTACCATAATATATCTTATTATCCTGGAAATAGTTGCTCATTTCATCAAATACAACAAAATCAAACAAGATAAAACCCAAATAAACAAAACAATGAGAATGATACAAAACTTCAAAACAAGGTAAGAGGCAATTAACAATGGCCACCACCTTCAGAAGGAGATCCCCATATATGCTGCATTGCATATTGTTAGCTTCCGAATAGGTGATCAGACTACCAGCATTAAGTTGTATTGTACCTCATTAGCCACCATCACAGCCTATGTTTCTCCGAATCAGCCAGTGGGGGTGTGGGGGACATTGGCTCTTCTTGTCTCCCAGCCTGTGCACCAGAAGAGACTGGCATTTGGCTCTCCCCAGTCAGCCTGTGCATGACGCCAGCTCACCAGAGGTCTTAGCTTCTCCTTGACTTCTTATCCCTCCCACCCCCATCTGCAAATGGCACTGACTTCCTGGAGAGGACTGGCATCTGACTCTCACCCAGTCAGCCCATTCCTAGAATTTTTGTATGGTTTGCTCTGAAAATATTAATGTTCCTGATTACAGGGTACTGCCTTAGATAATCCACACATGGTATAAGTATAGTACTGTTACCTTTCTAAATTAAAAAAAATCTAATTCTAAAGCATGGCTGAATTCTAAAACAAGTCTGCTTCCCTGAGATCATGGGCATATGTAAGTAACACCTATGATAGAGTGGTTTATGAGAACCCTAGCCATAATTGAATCCAGGGCCTTCAGTCTGAGCTACACCCCCAACCCTTCCTTTTTTCATTCATTCATTCATGCGTGTATTTATAGCCTTTTATTTCTTTTAAGGGAATATAAATTCACATGCCATGATTTTAAGAAGCAAAATGTGTGATGTTTGCTGTCTACCTGCTTTTCTTTAAAACCATTCAAGTGAGATCACTTAACTCTCTCATGATGGTGTAGAACTCACCTGTTTTCTGTATCAGATCATAAACATTTTACTTAGTTTAAATTTTTTAAATATTTTCTCAATTACCACAGCAGTTAGTTTTACCGGGCTTCTTCCTTCCATTTCTCCTTGTTCTGTGCAGATTATCAGCGCCTGATGACAGTGGCAGAAGGCATCACCACACTCTTGTTCCCGTTTCAGTGGCAGCATGTATATGTTCCCATCCTCCCTGCTTCCCTGCTGCATTTCCTTGATGCTCCTGTCCCATATCTGATGGGCCTTCAGTCAAAAGAAGGAACCGACCGCTCTAAACTAGAGCTTCCTCAAGAGGTAACAAGCGCAATGAACTATGAAACATTTGCTGTGGGTGTGGGTCAAGTCTCCTCGGTGAAGTACCACTGTCTCTGCCCACTTGTGTCTGTCTCTCCTGAATCCCCTGTGTGGCTAAGATAGGGCTGAGCCATCAGATGCTGATTTTGGCTCCAGTTGGTTTCTACAATGTAACAGTGAATGAAAGACTTCAAAGCAGGGCAGCGGAGGTTTTCACAGCCATTGATTTGTGAAGATGGAGCAATAGTAGCACAATCTCATTGCTTTACTATTCTCATGGCATTTCATTTCTTTTCCATATTCATGCTATAAAATTTGTTTTTAAGCAGTAAATCCCAAGCCTAACATTTAAAAAAATCATACTGTTATTAGTTAAGGTGAATTTGATTTTTTTACCTCCCTCAAGGAAAAAAGTAGTATCTTTCAGCAGGTAGGAGAGAGGGAAGCTTTGCTGCTGTTTTCAGACCCAAGGTCAATTGTCAGCCCACTTTAAGCGTTAACCTGGCTTGGTCAATGAGAACAAATTCTTAGCCTCTCATTTTTTTCTACCTTAATATTGTTATGTTTTTTGTGCATTGTGTTTTCAAATGTTATTTAAGAGAAAAATAAGCAAGATTTTTTTTTCTTGATACGAGGGATCAAATTCATGACCTCATGCTTGCCAGACAGGCGCTTATATTACTGAGCTAAATCCTTGGCATGAATTTTTGAACACATTCAGAATCTAATATTTGCCCATCGTAGAATTGTGATGTTTGAGGTGAAATACTGATGAGAGAGGCGTGGCCTGTTAAGAAGCATGGACCGGTTAATTACGTCATGTAAGAAGTCATATAGCTGTTTAATAGAATCCCTAATGCTGAGCTTCACTTTATTTGCTCCTGTTTTGCATAGAGATTATCTTTTTAATAAATGAATTTAAAATAACACATTAAGCCACATTATACCTACTGATGATTCTGGTAATTATCTATTGCTTGCTTTTATTCTAATGAATATTTCCTTATCAAAATTAACATTTTTATTCAAGGAAAAATAGCTTGATTCAGGTTATACAAAATATATATTCAAACTTTCTTGCTTTGGGGAGGCTTTTTTATTTTATTCCCTGCATTTTGCTGCTTTTCTTCATTCCTTGAATTATTTGTTTTCTCTTTCATTAAATTTAGTATCTTTTTGATTCAAAGTCAGTCCTTTAAATTTTCAAAGAAAATGAAATAGACTAGCCAAATTCTTGTTGTTTTAAAGATTTAAATAGTATCTGACCTCTTTCCTTTTTAATCAGATTTTATTGATACATTTTAGATAAACATAATAATCACATTCATCATAGAGAATTTGTACATGATACAACTTGATTCTTTTTTTCCCCATTCTCCTGCCTTCCCTTCACCTCTCTTCATTTCCCCATTTATAAAAGCTTTGTTTCCATTTTTTACTTTTCTCACTTTTTTTTTACTTTTCCCTTCTTTCCTTTCCCCCTCCCTTTGTTCCCCTCTCCATTTGAACATTTTATTCCTGTGTCTTAAGACCTAATACACATTTTGGTCATTATTTACACTTTTGGTTTCTCACACCTGTTCTATTTTCTATGTTGTTCAAACGATATTTTTTCAAATGATATTTTATAAGGCTGTTTAAATAGGTATTATCCATTTTACGTAAGTGCTTTTAAGAAATTTTTAAATGCCACCTTGGTAATTTCTTATTGGGAAATCTCTGTATGTCTGCATGTATCTTCTGCTTCTAAAGAAAAAAAGGGTAAGAATTCTGAAAGCCTTTGTTCAGTCATGACCTCAGTATGAGTGTGAGTTGTGTGTGTGTGCATGCGCACAACTGTGGGTAGAATCCAGGGACTGTACTGGGTAAGTACTCTGCCACTGAGCTTCACCTCAGCCTCTCAACACTAATTAATACCCACACTTGTTTATTCAGAGTAATATGAAAGATCCTGAATCAGCTGGGAAAATACCAGCGCTTTAGTATGAAAATTACAAATTAGGTACATTGCTTTTTAGAAGAAAAGGCTAAGAGTACATCACTTTGGTTCAGTGTTACTTTACAATGAAATGAAATGTCTCACATAATTTTGGGGAGGATATGAGTATAAAAATATCCATCATAGATGTTTAAAAATGACTTGAATATACTCAGTAGTAATATTTCCTACCCCACTACCCTGAAAAATATGAAGTAAAATTATGGCTAAAACTACTGATGAGGCTTCTAAAAAGAGTAAAAATGACAAGTTTACCAAACAGTTAAGAAGTATGATGTTAGTTGTTAGGCTGAAAGAGGTGTGATGATAGTCGTTGGTATGATATTAGTTCTTAGGTTGACGAGGTGTGATGATAGTTGTTAGGTAACTAACATTAGTGCTCAGACTTAGCATTAGTCACCTACTCCCTTATCCCGTGATGCCCAGTGGGAGGCGCCATTGCCTTTTGTTAGCTTGTTTTTAGGAATGTGGGAGCACAAGGGAAGAAGGCTGTGGCTTGGAGGTGAATTGCAGTGACACCTCAGTTTCTTTCATTCTTGCTCATCTTTACAGTAAGAAGTAGGCAAAAAAAAGTAAAATAAAAAAAAGCTGAAACCCAATAGCTTTTGCTACTTTTTTTTGTCATATCTTGCTTTGAAACTCTGAGGAAATACTTTTTTTTAATTGTGGTTTGGGCATCAGACCCAGGGCTTCCTCACACAGGCTCAACAGGGGATGCAACTCCTCAGTGTTCTCCCCAGTTGACTCAACTCCAGATGAGAGAAGGCACCTCACTGCTAGTCAGCATGAAGACCACTGGCCTCAGCTCAGTCACTGCATGCTGCGTGCTCTTGCTTACATTTCTGACCGTGTTTGTGTAACTTTACCACTTATCTCAGATATTGTTAATACAGAATGCAGTGGACGACAGCAGGATATGTAAGAGATAAATTCAGCTTTCGTAACAGTTACTACTAAATAGCACATTTAAGAATCGGAGGAATAAGTGAACTAAGGGGGTATGGAGGATAACAGAACCTTTTTTAGGGGTATAAAAAGGCTTAATCATGGAAGAGGTGATTGTTTCAACCTTTGAGGCAGCTTTTGTTGCTTCTAATTGGAAGTAATTACAGGTCATGAAGGCTTGTGAGTGGTGTCAGTCAGTAGAAATTCAAAAAGATTTAGTCCCAAAAAGTGTCATATCGGACATCGACTATATTTTTTTTTCTTTCTTTCTTTTTTTTATCAGTACCAGGGATCAAACTCACGACTGCAGGCTTGTGAGGCAGGTGCTTATGCCACTGAGCTAAATCCCCAGCCCCTGGACTATATTTTTTTTATCATGCATGTAATCTTTGTTTAGCTCATGTGACATAGTTTTAAAGTTCTAATACTATTAAGGAAAGTGTGTGCAGTAGTCTGTTTTAGAGAAAGGGTTTTTCTGCAGTACATTTTCATAACTCAGGTTGTTGTTTCTTCCTCCTTGTGATCATCAGAGCTCCTTTGGACCCTTTCAAACAGGCACAGGTGGGATGAGAGAATTTTGGGGAGCAGGAAGACAGGCCAGGAGCTGAGATGCCAAATTCACACATCCACATACTTCAGTTCAGCTGGAATCACAAGGCATGGCCAGCTTTGACATGTCATAAAACATGTCCTTCTGTATTTTCTTGGGGAGAGGACAGGAACTGAAAGAGGACAGGCAGGCATTAATGGAGGAGATGGTATAACATGGAATGGTAGGAGGGTGTTTGTTGACCCATGGATTAGTAAGTTAGAGAATTTTTCCCATTTTTAAAGATAATCATCTATTTGAGTTATGGTGACCTACTTTCTCATTTTAAGCCTTTTAATCTATCCTGCTTCCTAAAGACTGAAGACACATGTATAAAGATGTGGCCTTAGAGAAAGCTATGGGCTACACTGCTATCTTCAGCAGGATATGATATGTCAGCTCTTTCTTAGTTTCTTTGGGAGTTGAACCCAGAGCTGCATGCAAGGCAACACTCTACCACGAGCTACATTCCCACTCTTCTCCCTTCATTTTTAGACAGGATCTCACTAAATTTTAGGTCTCCCAGGTTGACCTAAAACTTGGAATCTTCACACCTCAGCCTCCTGAGTATCAAGTATTACAAGCATGTACTACCCAGCTCATTTCAGCTGCTTATTTTGAAAAGGCTATTGACATGGGAGACAAGGAAAACTTGAAAAATGAAAACAAAACAAAAAAATGCCAAAAGCCACCGCTCTATTTAAGGCTATCCAGTGCAGTTGCCAGTTGCCATCTTGGGCCACAATTTCTCAACCTGCAAGACTAAAGAGCTGCATTTAATGGTTACATCAGGCTGTGGGAATCATTATCAACTGTTATGACGGGAAATGATGGATTTTTATTGTTATTTTGAACTTCACTATATTTATTGCTTGTTATCTAACACAATGAGAGGAATCAGAAAAACAGATTGGCCAGTTGCTTCTCCTTTCACCTTGCTGTGCAGATTGAGATCAGAGGATGGTGTGAATTCTCTCCTTGGTGATGTGCATAGAGGGAAGGGCAGGCTGAAGCTTCTGGCTTGCTTGAAGTTGCTCCTACTCCAACTATGCCTCAGCCAGCCACCAGTGGGCTTGATCAGTTTTCTGGAACAAGCTGTACCTGTCTCTCGCAGCTCAGTGGTCTTTCTCACCCACAGCCTGCTCTGATTCAGATGGTGGGAGGTAGTGAGGTAGAATACTGTTTGGCATTTACTGCTATCAAATATCCAAGGGAGAATCCAGGTTTTATTCAGGGACTTGGCCTTTTAAGTTTTTCATATGTACTCAAAAAATACTTGCGTTTCTTCAAAATGAATTCCAAGTCTAAAATGTAAGCAGACTCAAAAAACATTTTTTCTGATTCCTGTTACCTTTTTTCCTCAAGACTGTCTTCTGAGTCACCTTCTAAACATTCAGAGATTAATCATTTGTCATTATCCAGGCACTTCTTCCACTTCTTTCTGCCTCCTGCTTTTTGTCCTGGGACTTCTAAAATGATTGAATTATTCCAGCTAGTTTAGCAAGTGACAGTTGTGGATACCTTTCAGTTGGATTGATCTTTGTCAGTTTTGTCCCATTTCAGGCTACTCTGGCTTGCTGTTAGCACTTACTGTGAATTCTAAGTTACAGATCTAGAGCAGTGGAACATGGAGAATGGTAAAGCTCATGTAGTGAGCAATGTAACTTTGAGCTTGATGAAGAAGCTTTGGTGCAGATTTGGCTACAGAAGCACATGTACAGTCTTAACAGTTGTGGTGCCTGTAGTAGGAGTTTTTCATAAAGGAAACTCCTCTCTGCTGGACTTCATGTTTAATTCTCATTATAGATATAACAAGGATTCTCAAAGTTGGATTGGTGAAAACAAACCATTCACTGGCTTTACAAGGCAAGGTGATTATAAAAGAGAAAATAGCATACAAGTAGCATACAAGTTTGAAATGAAGTATTTGTAATGACAGACCAAATGTAATGGAAGTGGTTGTTCTACTAATGGATATGCAGGGTGCTTTTGATAGCCAGTCAACTTGCAAAGACTGTGCAACAGTATTTGCTGTGAGCACTATGGCTAGTTCTTTCCAGGTATATAATTTGTCTCAGAATATTCTAGATGATCTTCAATACTTGAAATTATTTAGAGATTGGGATTATTCTTATGCACATTCATATGGTTTGTAAAGTAGAAAATAATTTCTTGAAAAGGGATTGCAGGTAAAACAAAATACATGAAGAGCTACCAAATGTAGGGAAGCCTGTTCATAGTTGTTTCTCAGATCTGGGTTACTTCCTTTTGCCACATCCTGGTCTTAACATTGCAGTCAACCCTAGTTTTGCTAGGAGATTGAAAAAAATTTTTTTTCTTTTTCCTTTTTATCAGTACCAGGGATCAAACTCATGACACTTGCAAGGCAGGTGCTTATGCTGCTGAGCTAAATCTCCAACCCCAAGATTGAAAAATATTGATGAGGAATTTAAATGACAGCTTATGATCTCATTCTACTGCTGCTTGCCCCTTAAAATTTAATAGAAAAATAAATGGATCTAAAATCACTTGTAGAGATCTTGTAGAGTATTTTAAGGCTTAAATTAAAGTTTATGGAAAGGAACTTGCACATCCAGAGTCCACACTTCAGGCAACAGCTGAAGCTAATGATCTTGCTGTAGGAGCACTAGCCATCTATTGCAAAGTATGGGATAGATGTGTGGCAGGGACAAGCTGTACATTGCACCTTCAACTCTGGAGCAAAAACACCTGCATCTCAAGTAACTGGTGATCAATTTCACTCTGTAAAAAAAAAAAAATGGATGGAAATCAGTTTTACTGTCATTATCAGGACCAACTTGAAGCTGAAATTGAAGAAATCTATGCGAATTTTATAAAGCACAGTGATGGCAAAAATACTTCTTATGCTGTTTGCGATGTGAATCTCAGAACTACTGGCTTCATTAGCCTAAACGCTATAGCTGTCTTGTATAATTTTGTCATTGGTTAGCGCTGATATCTCTTTGTACTTGGCATATGTTAAATGCTCTGGGGCATTCAGAGAAATTAGAACAGTGATGGGTCAGATTGTTGAGACACTATGGGAGGAGATACTAAAGCCCCAGGTGACAGTCTGCTGGAGGGAAACATACGGCAGTCTGTGACAAACTGTCAGAGCAGGCCTGCCTGACCAGGTATCTCTGCATGCCAGATCCAAGACAGACTGATGGTCTATCTCCTCATGAACTCTATGCTCCTTTTTCCATGTTTGCTGTGAAATCAGAACTCAAGTAAAAATAAACCAAAGTTTACAATCAAAACCAAATTCTGAAATTCATGGAGTAGGAGTGTGGTGAGTGGTAGAATATGTGCTTATCTATGGGTCCAGTCTCCAGGACCACCAAAAACCCAAAAAGCTAAACCTTGAATGGTTAACATAAAAATCAGTGTTTTTTTTTTTTTTTTTAAAGTTTAACAAATAAAAAACCATCGTAGGCAAACCATAGGAGGCAAGATACACCTGTAATCCCCAGCACTCTTGAGAGACTGAGACAGGAGAGTCACAAATACAGGCTCAGCCTGGGCAACTTCACAACACCCTGTCTCAAGAAGGGATGAGGATGTAGTCAGTGCTGAAGCCCTGAATTCAATTCTAAGCGCTGAAACAAAAATCCACCCATAACCTATGCTGTCATTTATAATAGTTGGCAGTAATATTTAAAACATAAAATTCAGTTAACCTTTGTGGGGTTTTTTTTTTTTTCTCTTTCAGGCTAATTTGTGTTTTGTGGATATTGACAACCATTTTATTGAATTGCCTGAAGAATTTCCACAGTTCCCCAATAGAGTGGATTTCATCCAGGAACTCTCTGAGGTCCTCCTTCAGTTTGGGATTCCACCTGAGGGCAGCCTACATTGCAGTGAGAGTGCCACCAAGCTGAAGAACCTGGTGCTGAAGGATTTGGTCAATGACAAAAAGAACGGCAATGTCTCTACCGGCAACATCAGTATGTATGAGCTACTGAAAGGCAACGAAACCATTGCTCGCCTGCAGGCCCTGGCCAAGCGCACTGGAGTGACTGTGGAAAAGATGGACCTCTCCACTTCCCTGGCTGAGAGGGACAAGGACCTGAAACTGCAGTGTGAGGAGGCTGAACTCAGGGACTACCAGCTAAATGTGCAGCTGCGGGAAGTCTTCGCTAGCCGCTTTACACAGATGTTTGCAGATTATGAAGCATTTGTGATTCAGACCGCACAGGACATGGAGTCCTGGCTGACCAACCGGGAGCAGATGCAGAACTTCGACAAAGTAAAAAGAACCATAGTTTTCTTTTTCATGGTTCTTAATGGGGTGTATAACGGATTTGGTTAACTTCTGTTGTTTTTTGAGACAGGGTCTCACAGTGTAGTCCAAGCTGGCCTTGAACTCGCAGTAATCCTGCTACTTCAGCCTCCCAGGTGCTGGGACTACAAACCTATGCCTCCACCCCTGGCAGGTTAACATTTTTAAACACAGGTTAATTTTTCCTTTCTTTGTTCCATTACCAACTTTTCTTTAGTTGGGCATGATGCCACATGCCTGTGATTGCAGTACTCTCAAAGGTTGAGACGGGAAGATTGCAAGTTTGGGCCCACACTGGGCATTTTAGGGACTACCCAAAACTCTATCTTGAAGTTAAGAATTTAAAAGGGGAAAGCGTGTAGCTCTGTGTAAAAGTCCTTGCACTGAACAATAATTTCACCCAAAAGTAAATCATCCTGCACACAACTCATTATTGAAATGTATGCTATATTTCCTGTAATTTCATTCTTGTATTTTTTGAACTTTGACAGTGTTTAAATTATGGAAACTCATTTTTCACAGGTTTTTCCAATTTATTAACACTGTTTGACCTTGTAAGGGCTTTTAACTCTAATTTTATGAGCAAGTCTAATCAAATGAAACATGTTCCTTTTGTGAGAAATCCTTATTTGTTATATGTATTTAGTTTTCATCCCGTATTGAAGTCACTCACTTGTCCATGTAAAAGTAACCCAACATTCCGTGTCCAAAGCCAGATTTTTGCCAAATTTTAGGATCAGTGGAAAGAAAGGATAAATTAGATTTTTATGACTGTTGCTCTAAGACTGTTACAGAGTTTTTGGAAAAGGAAGACAAAAAAATGATACCAGCTTATGAAACTTCTCTCTAAGGGTTATCAGTGTTCTTCTGCCAGATTTTCTTCACTTACACCCTAGGGTTTGGCTTGGTTTGTTTTTTTTCCAGACAAAAGCACTTAGGGATGTGCACTGATCCTGAGGTCACCAGGCACAGTCCAATCCCTGCCTGTGACTAGAGGCTCAGCAGTGCTGTTCCAGTGAATTGTGGCTCTCACTGAGTGGCATCTGCACGTCACACGGCCTCTTGAAGGGGCTGCGCTCCCGCAGGCTAATCAACAGGACAGTCTTGGGCCATCTGACATAATATGAACTAAACTTCTCTGTCAAGGCCAGTAGCTAAAAGAATTGCCTGAGCCCATCATATTTTTTCTGATAGAGGATACTACACCATGTACATCAGAACTTGCAGGTACATTTCATGTTTGATAAAATGTCTTTAATATTAAAAAACTTATTCATATGTATTTCTACTCTTAGTTCCCTTTCTCATTTACCTTTGCTTTTTTCCTACACTTTTTTCTCTATCTTCTTGGGAACTAATCTCTATATTCATGATTTGCCCTTGGGGAAATACAAATTCTTACATAAGAATTGAGTCCTCGTAATTTCTCCCTTGGTAATCTTTATGCAGCTTAAACTCAAAGTAGGATTCTATAATCCCTAAAGAAATGAAAGTTTATGTTGGATACTCTGCCAAAGGCTTTTAATCATCTCATTTTTCATGAGGAAAATATGCAGGATGTAGTAATACTGCAAGCCAAGTTATGTTGATCTTAAATGTTGTAGCCCAGGAGAGCCTACACAACAAAAGCTAGATTCGGCTGTTTGGTACCTGTTTCTAAGGCTGTTGGCTCCATAAAAAGAGTGATATTTATTAGTAAGATACCTTTTGAGGAGGTGAACTGATTTCTAGAGACTGCTGTGCCTCTTTCTCTGGTAGTTTGAAATTATATAAATTTACCTGAGGTTCTGGAGCACTTAACTTGAATAAGTGGTTTTTATAAGGAAGCTTTTAAAAGGTCTCTGAAAATTCACAGTGGAAAATGAGTACACTAAAAGGCAGCTGATGAGTATGTTATGCAAAAAACAAACCTTGCATCAGGATTCACCCTTCTCATTCCTTTTTGCTTCTTCCACGCCACATCTGTTTGAATGAATGGAAAGGAAAGCAGACCCAGTGAATCACATTTCAGCTGGTCTGAATGGGACCTCTTGCACATGTGGGCCTGAAAAACAAGAAAAAGTGACCACTTTGGATCAGAAATGTATTGTAACTTAGTGAATTTGCTGTGCACCCAACAAGCTAGAAATAGGAAAGTCCAGCTTGTACAGTTTTCCAAAGGCATAATCCCAGTGATTTCTCAAGTGAGGATCTTTGTTCTTAAGCCCTAGACTATTGTGGCCTCACAGGTCTTAAAAAAGTTTAATGAGTTTGGTCTTGAGTTAACAAAGAGATTGGAATCTAGAAAAACATGGCCCTTGAAGAACAAAAGAATTTCACTCTCACCGTAAATTCTGTGTTGTCATTTTGAGGTAGTTATTGTTAATGTGTGAGCATTATTGCGTCGGTTAATTCATGGCCTTTTGGGTAGGAATGGAGAGCAAAAGAAATTACTGAGAAGAGGGATCAAGATTTAATGGTAAGTGAAGTAAAGGACTGACAATCACAGAAGCTTATCCATCTTCTTTCGTTAATTAAACCATGTGATCTTCATAATGGTCATCAGGTTCAAAATGTAATCATTTTGAAAAGAAATGTGAGTACTCAAGACCTAAGTGAGCTATAAATTTAAAAAAAGGGAGATTAGGATTATAAAGGATTTTTTAATTTCAGGTGTCAGCTTTATATGTTACTAAGTTTTAAAAAGAATGATCAGCAAATGATAATTTTCAAGTTTAACGCGTAGTAGTGTGAACAGTAATAATTTGTTAATTATCTCATTACAGGCTTCTTTCCTGTCTGATCAGCCTGAGCCTTACCTGCCATTTCTTTCACGCTTCATTGAAACACAGATGTTTGCCACCTTTATTGATAATAAAATTATGTCTCAGTGGGAAGAGAAAGACCCTTTGCTTCGGGTCTTTGATTCTCGGATTGAGAAGATAAGATTGTACAATGTAAGGGCACCCACCTTGAGGACATCTATATATCAGAAATGCAGCACTTTAAAAGAAGCAGGTACGTTTTCAGTTTTAGCCCTTATGGCCAGTCCTACAATATCAAGAAGTTTCTGTTGTTTTCTTCCTATCTCTGTGAGTCCCTATTCCTCCTGGACATTTCTTTTCCCTTAGACAAAAAAAAAGAAAAGCAATCATAAATTGAATAGTGCATAATTAGGATGTTGCTGTAATTTTTTATCTCATTCTCTCTGTTGCCTCATAGAAAAAAGTTGGTTTCTATCTTGCTGCTGGCGCTGTCCTTTTGGCTTTCATTATTCAAGAAAGTATCAGTTTGAAAGATCCAAGAAGCTGCCTAGTTTATATAACAAATGGCATATTTGTTGCATTGGCATTGGTGCTTAGCTTCATCTGTTGAAATTAAATCGCTGTATTCTTTTTTTTTTTTTTGTCTTTTTCATTTTTATCGGTACCAGTGATCGAACTCACGACTGCCTGCTTGCAAGGCAGGCACTTATGCCACTGAGCTAAATCCCCAGCCCCAAATCGCTGTATTCTTGCAATTTGAAAAATGAGAGGAAACTCTTGCATCGGAAACCCTGACACTTGTTTTCCCCAAGTCACAGAATTACGAGTCATGGTCGGCCTTGTCTGCAATGTAGTGTGATCCGTTGAGGAGATGACCATACTAACAGCCAGCACCTACTATGTGCCACTCATTATACGAAGTGCTGTAGAGGCATCACACAGCTGATCTTAGCAGTGCTTGTGTTTGTACTGTTTTATCACTATCCTTACTGTACAGCTGAAAAGGCTGGAAGCCTCTGGTTGTGGATAGCTAGTTTTTGGTGCAGCTGTGGTTTGAATTCAGGTCCAGCTGATCCTAGCCACTGAAACCTTAATTTCTTGTTAGCTATTCTTAAGCTTTTTTTGTAGTACTGACGATCGAATTCAGCACCTTGTGCTTACCAGGCAGGCACTTTGCCCAGAGCTAAATTCACAGCCCTTAAACTTTTTTTTACTGGAAAAAAATTTTCCTTTTGTTTCTTTCCCTTTGAATGTAGGTGCTGAGAGAAATTTTTCTGCTGGAGAAAAAGGAGACCACAGTTATAGTGCTTTCTATACTCTGGTTGTGTTGCTTGCTTACTTTTACCACTTCACTTAAATAGATCACTCTCAGAAGTAGTGATGCATTAGCATATTTGAGGAAAGTGGTGATTGTTAGCATATTTAAGGAAAGCTGATACCTTAGCAGTACAGGTCTCTGAGGCGTGGCCTCATTGGGTTCCTATACGTAAGGATAGATTGTTGGAAGCCCCTTCAGAAAATGACAATTACCTCTGTGTTTCTAGAAACTGAGTAGGTAGAATAAATGAAAGTGCTTACACAAATTCAGAGAATATAGTGACTTCCAGCGCTTTAACAGCCATGTGAGTAATACAATACCTTAGTGAGTAAATTTCATTCCTACTTTCCTGACAAAATTTTAAAAATAGAATTAAGCATCAATTTCTTAATTTATGTGTTCCATAGAGAATGTCTTTCCAATTAAAAGATTTTCCTTTAGCCTCTCCCAGAATTTGGTACTCCCACTGTTGTTACAAAAATTACATAAAACCCCTTTGGAAGTGTACCTTTGTAGACTTCATATGTGAGAAAATAACATAAAGCTTAGATGGCAGCCTCCTCGGAATCTTACTGTCGCAGACTTTTTAGCAGTGAAAGGAACAGCTTGCTTGTGACTGCTGACTGCATATAAGTGAAGTGGTTATTTCTTTTCAGGTGATATTGTCCTCCCCACAAAACCCAGAGATTAGGGGATATTGTCGATGACACTGGGTTTTTACCAGATATCAGGTTTTGTGTGTATGCCTGTGTTTTTGCTTTGTTTTACCTCTGATCAGAAAAAATTCTGATTTACAAGTAAGCTGTTAGGGACCAGCTATCTGTAGATATTGTGGCACCAGAATCTCATGATTTCTGTGCAGAAAGACAAGAAGTATATAGTAGAATGGTTTTCTTCTTACCAAATACCACAGATCAGTCTTAGCAGCCCCCAACCTCTCAAAGCAGGCATTTGCTGATTTCTGAATGTTCAGTATTCACTGGTGATACACTCACTAAAAGTGATGTTGCAATATGATCCCTGAAACAATTTTAAATATAAACCCTAGAGTAACTCATGAATCATGATTTTTGTGTGGGTAGCTTGTAAGCATTCCAAGCAAAGGCAAACAACTTAATATTATGTTGTAGGGATTTGTCTGTCATTTTCCAATAGGTGTAATTCCAGCATTTGGGAGGTTGAGGCAAGAGGACTGAAAATTCCAGGGTAACCTAGGCTACATAAAAAGTTTGAGGTCAGTCTGAGCTACATGGGAAGACTCTCAAACCATGCACACATATAGATATATATAAACCCAACAGAAAACCTGAAGCTCCTTTTTTATTTTTTCGTTTTGTAAGAACAGAAACTCTTCTTGGCAGAGATGAAATTTTATAGTACTTCATGAAACATAAAATTGACAGAGACCTCCAGATTCCATGCTATGGATCTGGTCATCATTTTGCCAAAAGCATCCATTAATTAAACGTTTTGTGAATATTAGGATGTATAGAGAGTGTAGATAGGGAGGTGGAAGGTCATTGGACATCACTGAAAATTGAATGTCACTTTATATCTTTTTGTGCAGCATAGAACATATGGGCAGTGTTTTAAGAAATATTAAGTTGCAGGCCGGGAGTTTAACTCAGCAGGGTGAACACCTGCCTTGCAAGCACGCAGTGGTGAGTTCGATCCTGGGTACCAGAAAACAAAAAATAAACATAAAAGTTCAACTACTGTATTAAATATACAGCAAGGTTTTAGATGAACTCTGTGGATGATGAGGGAAATCTGGAGAAGCTGAAAGGCCATCACCCATCGTCCAGCATGAAGTCACAGTAACACCTTCCATCCAGCACCCCTCAGCACCTCCATCAGACACAGAGTTGGCTTGGGGAGCTGACTGTGAGCTGATGGCAAGTGGCAGTCATCATCCCTGTTTAGTAATCTGTTGGCAAGGGTCTGGGGACCTGGTCTTGCTCATCAAATGTTATATTTTCTTCCAAAAATTTGGTTGATAAAAATAAGATGAGAATTACTTTGTTTTAGCAAAAAAAAAAAAAAAGATTGCTTTCCTAAGGCTGGAGGACGTCCTCCAATTCCGCTAAATTTAGTATGTTTTAAAACAAATGCTGAGTAACTCCTGTCTTTTTACTTTGACTTACTCGTTCTTCAGCAGGCCAGCTTCTTATCCTCTGGATGTTTTCTAAACGCCTGCTTATTTGACTTTTCTGCAGTACCCTAAAAGCACTCCTAAAGACCCATATGAATGGGAACGTGGCTGCTGCTGAAAGTGCAGGGCAGGACTCACATGATTCCTTGGTTCAGAGTGGGAGTAGTTTTAATGAGTGTTTGTTCCTTGCTTTCAGCTCAAGAGTTGCCTTTCAACTCAAGAAAAATACTTTCTTTGCCATCAGTTTTCTTTGATGTTGTGCTTAAAGCCATATTTTTGTTAAGAATATTGAATTTCCTATTTTAGAAAACCTATCTCAATACTAAATTACATTTTTCAACCTCACTGCTCAGCTTTTGGCAAAGGCAGAAAGCACCATAAAAATCAATCATTCAGTGTTTATTTAAAATTAACATTTCTATAAAAATATTTGAGATATTGGGATGTTTGAGTTCATGTGTGTGAATGGAAGCAGCATTATTTTTGAAGTACTAGCAATGAAATATTTCTAATTTGCTTTTTTCTTCATTTTATAAATTTATTGTTTTATTTGTTAGTACATGTTTGTAGTACATAATGATCACATTCATCATGGATCTGATTTGTTGTAAATTTAATTTATAGCCCAATCCATTGAGCAGAGACTGATGAAAATGGATCACACTGCAATCCATCCACATCTGCTAGACATGAAAATTGGTCAAGGCAAATATGAGCAAGGATTCTTTCCAAAGTTACAGTCCGAAGTCTTGGCAACAGGACCCACCAATAACAAGTAAGCATATCTGTCCTTCACTGGGGTAACTAATTGACAGAATGAGTGAAGAGCACGTGCTCCACCACTCTTAACGAGGCAGTGTGTAATCATTAAACATCTCTCTGTCTGATTTTATTTTTTCAAGATCACATGAATTCATTTGAAATACAGATTGACACTCTGTTAGTACTGACTTTTAACTCTTGAATGCCTAGTGGTCCATTTTTGGCATACTCAAAACAATGGAACATAATGAAACGTTTTCTCTTTAGATGCTTGTTGCATGAATTTTTCTAGGTAAAAGATTTTAATTTCTCAGGGCTAGAGATTTAGTTCAGTGGCATAAGTACTTGCCTGGTAAGCTTGAGGTCGTGAGTTCAATCCCCAATACCAAAAAAATCTTAATTTCTCTTGGCTTGAACAATTTTCACAGTGTATTATGTGAGAAAACAAGTTTTAGAACACTGTGGGTAGGGGCTGGAGATTTAGCTCAGCGGCATAAGCGCCTGCCTTACAATCAGGCAGTCGTGAGTTCGATCCCCGGTACCGATAAAAAGGAAAAAGACAAAAAAAAAAAAAAAACACTGTGGGTATTGTGATACCATTTTTTATCTATAATTATAGTCAAATGTTTAAAAAAAAATCTTAATTTTGGTACCGATAAAAAAAATCTTAATTTTTTGCAAAGTTTTTTTTTAAGAGTACAATGTTTGGCATATGTGGGTTAATTCTGTCATGTAAAATTAAATATCCAAAGATTGGCCAAGCGAGGAAATGCATACATGTAATCCCAGCTACTTGAGAGGCTGTGGCAGAAAGATTGCAGGTTTGAGGCCAGCCTAGGCAGCTTAGTGGAAGCCAGTCGCAAAATTTAAAAAGGGCTGGGGTGCAGCTCCATAGTAAAGCACTTGCCTGTGTGCATAAGGTTCCTGATTCAGTCCCTCATACAACAGGAAGAAAAATTCAAAGATGAGAATTTCATTTTGTTTTTTGTTTGTTCCCAAAGAAAAGTGCAATTGGGAATAGCGGGGGATTTTTTGTTGTTTTTGGTGTGTGTATGTTTGTTTGTTTGTTTTTGTCAGTGCCCAGGGATCAAACAAAGGGTCACTTTTCTTACAACTGTGCTTAAATACAGTGCTAATAGTCTGAAGGGATTCAGAGTAGCTGTACTTCTACCATCTGTACTGCTTTCCTAGTACTGCTGCAACAAAGTACCACAAATTTGCTGCCTTGAAACCCTGACATTTTTTCCAACAGTCCTAGAAGTCAGAAACTGAAGACCAAGGCCCTGGCAGGGTCACTGTTCCTGCGCGGGCTTTTTTGTTGCCTTTTCCAGCTCTTGGCAGCTCCAGCAGCTGCTTGGCTCTTAACAGCTCAATGTCAGCCCCACTCTTTCTCCACCAGACCTCTCTCCCTCTGCATCTGTGTCTGTACCTCCCTTCCCACTCAGGATTGTACCCTGGTGACTCCTGCAAAGGCCTAGGTGAAAAGGAGGATCCATAGCTACCAAGCCTGAGACTTTAGCATGCCATTGTAGGGGTGCAGCTCAGCCTATGTACTAACTCCTGCTCTGAAGTATCACATACAAAACTATAGCAAAGGAAACAAAAATATTAAGATAAACCCTCTTCTTTATTTTAGATGAGTCTGTTTAGAAAATATCTGAATATGGTTAGAATGGGGAGGAAGAGGGCTGGAGATGCAGCAGTGTTAATTAAGAGTGCTTGTCTTGTGTGTGTGTGAGGCCCTGTTAATACCATCAGCACCCCGAAAGGGGAGGGGAGAGTGAAATAAAATGCAATATTGGGCTCAGGGCAGTGCTTGAATTTACATGAATATTAGTGTTGCTGGGGGTTTAGCTCAGCGGCATAAGCACCTGCCTTGCAAGCAGGCGGTCGTGAGTTCGATCCCCGGTACCGATAAAAATAAAAAATGAAAAAGACAAAAAAAAAAAAAAAAATCATCTTACATGAATATTAGTGTTCTGTTAACAAGTGAGAAAGAGCTAAAAGGATTAATGGAGACATGGTCTAAATAGGAAAGGGGGAACCAGCCCTAGGATTCACTTCACTTCACCACTTACCAGCTTAGGAACCTAGGAACCTTGACCTAAGTGTGAGCTGTTATCTCTGCAACGGAAGGCAACAGCCCTGCAGACCTGTGATCTCCTCCTTCAGGCAGGGGCTTGGAGGAGGGCAGTGCAGGGAGCCAGACAGGCCAGGGAAATGGGTGGGTGGGTGGGGGATAAAGGACAGAGTGGCATCAGCCCACCTGACTTTCCACCAGGCATGTACAGCGTCAGGGAGGGGATATACAATGCTGTGACACCTCCAACCTAAGTAAGAAATGAGAAGCTTGCTGGACGTGGTGGTGCACACCTGTAATCCCGCACTCAGGAGGCTGAGGAAGGAGAGTTCAAGACCGGCCTGGGCTACAAAGTAAGCTCAAGACCAGTATGAACCGCATAGTGAGTCCCTGTCTCAAACACACACACACACACACACACACACACACACACACACACACAAAGAAAAAGAAATAAGCTCTTGAAAGATGGCAGGGAAGCATGATAGCCCCTTCTTAGAGGGTGTGCTGGAGTGTTGGAGGGTTGGAACTCATCCCTTTCCCAAAATGCATCTCTGTTTGGCAGGGCAGAGGAAACTGTAGCAAATTATTCTAGTAATACATAATGATAGCTGGGCATGGTGGCACATGCCTGTAAACCCCACCTTCTGAAGGCTGAGGCAGAAGAATTACCAATTTAGGGGCTGGGGATTTAGCTCAGTGGCATAAGCACCTGCCTTGCAAGCAGGCGGTCATGAGTTTGATCCCTGGTAACGATAAAAATGAAAAAGACAAAAAAAAAAAAAAAAAAAAAAGAATTACCAATTTGAGGCCAGCCTGGGCTACAGAGCAAGGGACCTTGTCTCCAAAAAAGAAAAGAAAAAAATGATGATAGCCAGTGGTTTAACAAATATTGTGCTTATGTAGGCACTATTTCTTGGGGTGGTAAATTTGTGTATCATTGTATTCAGGTTTGCCATGCTAATATTTTATTTTTATTTTATATCCCAAAAGAAAGGAAAGCCTTGCCATTTTGCTAGTTGACTAATTGAAATTGTTCAGGTGTGTTTTTAATTTTTTGTATCATACTTTTTTTGTCTTTTTGAGACAGAGCCTCACTATGTAGTTAAGGCTGGCCTTGAACTCACTTTGTAGCCTGGGCTGGTCTCAAATTTGCAATGAACCTCCTGCCTCAGCCTCCTGAGTGCTGGGATTATAGGCGTGAGCCACCATACCCAGCCATATCATACATTTAATGAGAAGCAAACAACACATTATCTAAACAGTCCAGTGAATAAAAATGCTACCTTTCATATGCATTTTCTCTTGAAAAACTTTACATAATTTTTTTTTAGTCATCAAGTGGTCTGAAATTTATTTTTATTGTTAGTTCGCAGCTCATAATAAATATATTCATCGTGGGGAATTGGCATGTATACATCTGTCATCTTGACCATTTGGGCTTCGCCTTGTTCAAACGTGGTTTTGAAAGGTTGCGGATGGCTGGTTCAGGTCCACATACCAGGGAGTGAGAAGAGTGGCAGTGGCATCTGGAAACGGTGCGTGTAAACAGGAGCAGTCTCAGTGTGGCGCTCATGGTTGACCCTTGCCTTCAGTCTTCATTACGGCCTGGCATCCTCACAGGCGTCGGTCAAGAACTTGGGAAACTTTCATGGTTGCTTTATGGAAAGTACTTACTACAGGTGGTCAGAATTTTTTTTTTTTTTTTTTTTTTTTATTTAAGAGGAAAAGAGAAAAACACAAAATAAACCAAAGCGGCGTAAGGGTACACGCAATACAGAACTACAAAAAAAACAAAACAAAACAAAAAAACATAACAGTAAGAAATCACCTGCTAGTAGATTACACACTATCTTCTTGAAAATAGTTCCTCAAATCACAGTATCAAAGAACACAAGGTGGACATTCAAACAGGGAGACTGCAAACAGCTGTGTTCAATGTTCCAAAAACATTGATAAAGTCAGCTATTTAACACCCCCAAACACACTTGCTGTTATATCCGTTAGAGCTCTTTTTCTTTTTTTTTTTTTTCCCTCTCTTTTTTTACAACAAAATTTACACATCTTGGATTTTATTACTCCTTAGTGCTTATTACTTTCTTTGGGGGGGGGGAAAGGTGGTCAGAATTTACCGTGCTGCTACAAAACAAGCGAATAACTGGCAGCTAAGCATTTCACGTAGTTTATCTTGCGTGTGGACTTCGTAGGAATTTTCTTAAGCAGTGCTCATTTCCCTACTTAGGAGATGAAAATTAAATAGGGTGTTTTGTCCCATAGGGCACAGGGTGAGGAGGGCCATTTCTCTTATTATTAGTTGGTCATTATCTTTTTCTTTCTCCAAAGTCGTTCCCACTTAATGCTCCCTAAGTTTACATTTTGCTCCTTCACTTGAATATGTAAGTTCAATAGCTGATACTTGTATTGTCTCATAATTATACTCTTTATTTGGACCACCCTGACTATGAACTCTCATACGAGCAAATTTTACTGTTTTGTTTACTTATTTGACTGAGGACAGAACCAAGGGCATTGTTCATGCAAAAGACATACTACCACCAAGTTACATTTCTAGTTTTTTTTAAGTTTTTGAGACAGGGTCCCAAAAAGATGAAAAGACTTTCGTGATCTTTCCATGGTTGTGGCTGCAAATCAAATTAGGTAAGAACTAAATCAGGAATTCTATCCTGAAATCTTTCTATCTCAGAATCTTGAATAGCTGTGATTACAGGTGTGTGCCACTGTACCCAGTTAAATTTTATTGTCTTACTCTGATCTTTTTTCTAGGGCTATTTTTTTTTCTTTCTTTCTTTCTTTTTTTTTTTTTTTTTTTAAAGACAGTCTCATTTTGTAGCCTATGCTGGTCTTAAACTTGAGATATTCCTGCTGCAGCCTCCCAAATGGTGCTTCAGTTCATCTAAATTCTCTTAATTCTCTACATAATTTTGGTTGTAAACTGAATTAGATACAAACTAAATCAAATTCAGTGATCAGGTTCAGTGTTGACCATATGGGAAAATTTGATTCGGAATTCAATTCTTAAACCAGGGCACTACTGTGTGGGGATAACAGGCATGTGCTACTAAATTCATCTCTTTAGAGCTGTTTTCAAAGCCTACAGCATGTCAGAGTGTCTAGATCTTTGTACGTTTTTTGTTAACATACATTCTGTTTTCCCCCTTTAATGCATAAGTCCATCCTCTGCATTCTAAATGTAAATTGTGAGAGGTTTTGTGTTACATTCATTGGCTAAGTGCTGGCACTGAAAGTAGAGGGCAGTGGTAACAGTAGCCTTGGAAGGAGTGAGGATGAGTTAATAAAGGATGCTGGGGTGCTTCACAGGCAGGCATGGGGGAGTCAAGAGCTACCACATAATAGGAACTTGGGGAGACAGCAGCACCCACCCAAGGCCAGGGCTCTCTTGGGCAGGTTCGGGAGGAAGGGGAGGGCTGTCCCAAGGCAGGAGTGCTGCCATGAGTATTCCAGTGATTTCCCCGGGTTTCAGTCTCTGCACAGAACAAAAAGAACACAAGGCGTCGCTAGTGGGAGTCAGGCATGGAACAGCTAAAGCACTGGGCGATGGGAGTCTACCCAGGGGAGAGGGGATCAGGGCTCTGTGTCATCACTTGCTTGTCACATCCTTGATGTGGCTAGAGTGGAAGTGAGGTGATTTTGATTTGGAGGGCTCCAGAACTGTGTGAAGCTGTTGTCTCTGTAGTCTGTTTTCCTTAGCAGGAAAGAAAACTTAAACCAGGTTCCCAATCCTGCTCTGAATGAAAGTGCTAAGATGAGAAAGTAATTAAGAGTGGTACAGCTGAGCGGTGAGACTTTTCTACAAGAATCTGGCGCCAATGGGAAGCGGGGTTGGCCACAGTGTACTCCTTCCTCTGCAGGGCTTGAGCTAAAGGCCTCAGCCATGCCAGGCCACAGTCCAGTACTGATCTGCACTCCCAGCTCCCTGGAGGCACTGTGACATGAAAGGAGGCAGCTCCTAACAGGGTAGATAGTTGGATCCAGGGTCTGTTAATCATCAGATCACTGTTAACTAAAACCAAAGGTGACAGAAACAGAATATCACAGCTGAAAAGACCTTGGAAGTCCACAATTCTGAATCAGAGAAAGCTTTGTTAGTGACCTTTCAGTCAGAGTAACGCCAGGAAGTGCTGCAAGGTGAGGTCCAGGGAATGAGGCACAGGCCACTGTGAGAATGCTGCAGGCCATGGGAAGCAGGGTAAGTGTTTTTGGTTTGGTTTGGTTTGGTTTGGTTTGGTTTGGTACCAGGGTTTGAACTCACGACCTTGCACTTGCCCAGCAGGCGCTTGTGCCACTGACCTAAATCTCCAGCCTGGGTAGGTTATTTTAAGCTTACATTTCTTGCATATTTTGGTATGGAGTTCATAAAATAAATATTTTTCCCAGAGTAATTGACAAATGTAAGCTACCATTTCACAGCAACATATGGTGATAACGGTTTTTAGCCAAGAGAAATCCCAAGAGCCTTCAAGTCCCAGCCTGCAAGGCCAGACAAGGCTCCTAGGGGAGGGCATGTCAGAGGCCCTGGGTTGGAACCCCAGCACTGCCAGTCCCCCAGACTCCAAATATTTACCTCAAGCACATCAAGGCATGTTTCATGCCTCCTACAGTCAAGGTCTGAGTTATTGTCGTATGTGTATTTAATGTGCCTGGAACTGTTTTGTTTGTTTGGGGGTTTTTAGCTACACTGGGACTACCAGTAGTATACCAGGGTCTTGGTAGTGCTAGGCAAGTGCCCCACCATGGAGCTCCATCCACGGCCTGTACTGAGCATTTGCTAGCCCTAGTTAAAAAGGGCATTAATAGTAGTGGTGGTTGGCATACCTGCAAATATATCACAACCACATGATTGTGTACTTTAAGTAGGTGGATTATACAGCATTCTAATTATAGCCTTATAAAGCTGCCGCAAATAACATTTTGTAGACAATTGATTGAAAATAGCTAGTGTCAGCCTTCTGTATTGAGCAGCCAGCCTTCCTGTTGTAAAAATCTCAAGTACGTCTTGACTTGGTGGCCCCTCTCATGTGCTTCTCTCCACAGCCGCTGGGTGAGCCGGAGTGCCACGGCGCAGCGCAGGAAGGAGCGCCTGCGACAGCACTCGGAGCACGTTGGCCTGGATGGAGACCTGCGGGAGGTAGGTGTGCCAGGGCTTGCTGTGCAAACAGACTCGTTCTGTGATGTGTAGTTCACCATTTGTATTGATCAGTACCAGATAACACTCTACTCCCATGTTTTATTTGAAGTAGGGCTCTGAAACAAGTCTTTCTGTGTGCTGTATCAAGTTACACTGAGGGTAAAATTCAGGTTGATACTGTAGATCTTCTATAAGGAGAAACAGACATTTCAAAGTTTCAAGTATAATTAGACTTAGTAAGGAGTGTATTTATCACTGCCTTGGCTTGCTGACTCCATTTTTCAAAAGTGTTTTAGTGAGATGTGATGGAGCATGCCTGTAATTCCAGCACTCAGGAAGATGAGGCAGGAGGATCCCCATGAGTTCAAAGCCAGCCAGCACTATAAAGTGAGATTCTGTCTCAAAAAACAAAAACAAAATCAAAAAATAAGTATTATAAAACTATTTCTAAATGGAAATCTTTGTACTTTATTTTTACTCTTTAAAAATAAGGCCAACAGTTACAAATTTATCTGTTGTGGTCAAAAGAAAATGCAATCTGAAAGTCTGTTGCTGGGCATGGTGGTGTATACCTGTCATCCCAGAACTTGAGAGGATAAGACAGGAGAATCATCAAGAGTATGTGAGGCCAGCCTTGACTATGTCGCAAGATTCCATCTCAAAAAAAGAAAAGGCAAACACCTGTTAATTATTTTTAAGCTCACATGTGTAAAAATAAAGCAGAAGACATCATTCAGAACATCTGTTGACCATGAATGTTAACATTCACATGTGAGTTTAAGCGTTTTCTTAAGAATGGAAACATCTTTTGTTCAGTGCTTGTCTTTAGCTGCTGTACAATTTTTTCCCCCTTGCTTACACCATGCTCTTGTCATATGCATGCTTATTCTGCTTTCCTCTCTCTCTCTCCCCATTCTTTTCTCTTTACTTCCTGTCATCGCCACTTCTCCATCATCTTAGCCTTACAGGGAATCTCTTTGTCAGAACTCCATGGCATTCTGGGAGTGGGAGCAGGAGCACCTGCCTCCTCCCACACGGCTTCCTAAAAAGGCCTTCTCTGAGTGCTGCCTGGTATGTCCTCTACCTGGAAGTGTTCCCCATGTGCACGAGTGTTGGTGGCAGGGACACTTGTGCACGTAGCTGCAGACACCCCGTCACCTCTTGCCACAAACCCCAGCCCTACCTCCTGCCTCAGGTGCTCTGTGTGCTGTGGGACACAGGCACTGCGCCCACCTGTCTGCCCAGTCGGGTGTGTCCACTTGGCTTGGGGTATGGTTTTTGTTATTTTGGGAACAGGGTAGCAAATTGCTTTTCTTCTAAAGGGAAGAGACTTGTTGAACGTGCAGACTGCCTCAGGGTGGGAGGGCATTTAACCCAGAGCCTTATTACATGTTAGGAAAGCATTCATTGCTGAGCTGTACCTCCTCACTACAAATTCCCTCTTAGTTAAGCATTGTGCAGAAGGACAGATGTGATTACATTTCAGCTTCTTTTTACCGAGATTTCTTTCTGTAGCACTTACCTTCCTGGTCTACATCTTGATGTTGTTGGCAAATGTAGTCATCACTGTACAGTGTTAGGCCAAGAAGAGTCTTTCAGGTCATCTTGTCAGCCTAATACAACTCACTTGAAATCCAGGAGCTGTGTCTGGAATTAGGAGAGCACAGAGGTAGAGTGGGCCAGAGATCCATGACCCAGGGTGTCTAAGCCAGGAGTCGCCTCCTGCTGACTCTGCAACGTGCTGTGCTAACCAGTCCAAACCCGCACCCGGGTGTGCAGAGACCTTGGATCTTTTCCTCTCTCGGTACAGCATTAGCATCAATGTAGGTAATCCTGCAATGGATCTTCTCTTCTTAAGTTCAGCATCACTTAAAGAGATAGATTGTTGGGGCTAGAGATTTAGCTCAGCGGCATAAGCGCCTGCCCTGCAAACAGGCAGTCGTGAGTTCGATCCCTGGTACCAATAAAAAGGAAAAAGACAAAAAAAAAAAAAAAAAGAGAGAGAGATAGATTGTTTATTAGAAAAGCAAAACAAAGCCTATATTAAAGAACCTTTAGTGTTTCTTGAATGCTCAGACATGTTTTCATAGATGTGTCCTACTAGTTTGTTGCTTTTTGTCTTTGACAGAAATAAAGAAATCTCAGAAATCTGGAGCTACTTCTGTCTGTAGAGAGATGGACTTTAGAATGTAAATGTTATTTATGAAAGGTTCATCTTCTCCATTTTTTATTTCAAAATATACCTTTTTTCCAGTTGCTGTTTTTGCCATCACTTGTTTACTTTCAGGCATGGCCCGCTTTGTGTATGCAAAGGGATGTCGCTTCTCTGCCTCTGGCTGGGTCCCTGCAGTGCTGCTGGCTCTGTAGGCCTATGGCTGGACCTGCGCACATGCATAGGTGCTCAACGAATGCGGCCAGAACAGCCTCAATTGGCTTGTGTCCATGAGTAGAAATTGTCACAGCACTTAGGTTTTAAGCAAATTACTGGCTTTCCAAAATTTATCCATAAAACAGAAAAAAAAACTACTCCTGCTTCTCCAGCCTCCTGCCCAGCCATAGTCTCTTTTTTGAATCCAGTTTGCTACTTAGCTCTTCCTGAGAATTGAGTCTTGTAGGGGTTCTCTCATTGTTTGCAAGAGTGCTGAAGATGAAGGTATTGAAAGTAGGAGCAAAAGGGGCCCTTTGTAAACATTCAACTTTTGTTTCTACCAATCTTTTATCTCTCATTTTCAGTACATAGCCCAACAACAATTGGAAACAGGTATATTCTGCTCTGCATTATAGATTGATTTGTCAGATTTTATTTCCTACATTTTCTTATTTGAAAAATAATTTGCAGAATGTTTCTGTTTATACTGTTACACTTAACTTCTCCATTGGGAATAGTTCCTTGGTTATCAATTTTCCATTTTTTAAAACTCTCTTAAAAATATTTGAAACAAAATCATAAATGCTGCAGGACCTAATGCTTACAAAATTCAGTTTTCCTTAAAATCAGTGAAGGAAAAGATAGATTATTTTGCTAATGTTGCCTTTTATCATGAGAGTTAGAAGGAAGTAGGTAAACTGCTCAGTTAAATCCCTTCAGGTGGAGTTTTTATTTTCATGGTTGGCAGATTAGTTTTCTTTCAGAGGGAAAATGTTAACCTTATGCTCTCACATTTGAAGAATGTAGAGGGTTTGCATACCTTCTCTTACAGTACCAGGCTCCCCACATAAGGTATAAGGCAGGTTTCCCATGTGTGCCTGAGGACAGTGTTGGGTGCAGCTTGTGAATTCAGAGTGGTTGTTCTTTAAATAGGACCCTAAGACACGTGGACCTCTTGAAGTTTCCACCCTGTAGCCCTGATACAGACGTAGAGCATCTAGACAAGCCTTTTCAGGCAGCCCAGAGAAGAAAGTGTTCATTTTACACTAACCAATGTGGCGCTTCAGCGTCACCAGGCACTGTGCTGTCCCTTCGCCCCACTTTCTCCCAACCAGAGCAAGAGCCTCGCAGCACAGCGGAAGCGGGCACACATATCCTGAGTGTGTGTGTTCCTCATTGTGTTGTCAGAACTGTGGGTGGGCTACTTGGGCATGTTAGTGTCTACCTAATATATATATATACCTGATATATAACCCTGCTAGCAGATATGCCTCAGGTCCTGACATAAGTGGCAGCACAGTCCTGGAGCTCCAGACTGCACCACAGTGGCTTGGTTGGAGTGGAGGGTTAGTCTGTAGTGTACCCCAGAGCTGGGGTGTAAGGCTTCTGTGTGGGGAGAGCAGGTCAGGAAGGTGGTAGCCTGAGAACCAGCAACCTTTAGCAGAACCTGAGGTCATAATCCACACCTGAGCCTAAGGATTTTTGTCATAAACTTGATCCTGACCAGTCCCAGTGTCAGATAGACCAGAACAAAGCTAGACTGCATCTCATTTTCAATGAGTCTTACCTGGTGAGTTCACAGGTTATGGGCTGAGGGAGTACACTAAAGCTAATTTCCGCTGTTCACGCCTGTTTACCACCTTTGTGTAGCTTGTCTGTTACGATTAAGTAGGACAGAGGAATAGCTGATGTTTATGCACTAAAAACACTTTTAATTTTTAGAAATATATGCAAGAGGCACGAAGTTTAGGAAAAAACCTGCGGCAACCCAAGCTGTCAGATCTCTCTCCTGCAGTGATTGCCCAGACCAACTCAAAATTCGTGGAAGGTTTGTTGAAGGAGTGCAGGATGAAGGTACGTGCTGCTGATGCTGGACACTAGCCTCTTCACTTGCACTTGGGCCAGGCTAGGCTGAGCCAGCCTATCAGCACCTGTCACTACCCAGAGAGGGGCTTGGAACTACAGTGCAGACCTCGCATGCCCTCCATGCATGGGACTCTGCATCTGGGACTCAGGAGCTGCACTAAGTGTGACACACCTTTTTAGCTACTGCTGACCTCCCCTGCAACACAAAGGAATGCTAGGCCACTGAGGACCATGCCAGGAGTGGGAGGGGCTGTCTGTACTGCCCTTGCTAGGAAGAGCTGGCCAATCGCAGTGTGGGTTAGCATGCACGACTCAGCAGCCTCCCAGATACCTGAGTCACAGGAGGCAGCAGTACAGACATGACTCAGTGTCATCTTAGCAGGTCCTCTCCTTTATTCAACAGCCAGCCATCGTTGAGGCCTTCTTTGTGTACTCAATAAAGTCATCCTCAGGCTCTGCAGATGGTAAAGAGTCAGACAAGTCCCCATCTCCGGAAGCTGGTCCTGTCCCAGTTTACATTTTAAAGAGCAGCCAAGATTAATGCAGATTAACTTACCTAAAGCTCATTTCCATTTCCTTTTATTTTCTAGTGCACACTTACGTATAGAAAGAGACAGGAACAAGAAGGGGAAGGGAAAGCAAGCTCTGGTTCCATCACAAATCAGTATATTCTCAGAAGCCCTGAGTGCAGTCAGACCCATGCCAGGTGCTTTAGGAGTACACAGTGCCCAGGGTGAAGGGGAGTTGTGTGAAGTGCAGTGTTTCTGTGTCTGCCACACTTGTCCAGCATCATGGAAGGTGATGAACTGAAAGTTCTTGCATGTGAACATTTTTCATCATAGCAGCACTTTACGATACTATCTTACTCTCTTTAGTTACCCTACATATCTCTGACACAAAAATACAGTATATGTGTTACTGCAATTGGTTAACCACACCATGAAGACAGTGATCTGAGAGCAATGGTTAGAAACAGAGCAGGGGAAGCCCGGCCCCTAATCACTGATGAACTGGCAGCTCTAGGATTTCCCTCCCAGTAACTGTGCACCATGGTGTTTCAGACCAAACGCATGCTGGTGGAGAAGATGGGCCATGAGGCCGTGGAGCTGGGCCACGGGGAGGCAAACATCACTGGTCTGGAGGAGAACACCCTGATCGCCAGCCTCTGTGACCTGCTGGAGAGGATATGGAGCCATGGTTTGCAGGTCAAGCAGGTAACTTGAGCAGGAAGGCTGGGGACTTCACAGTGAGGATCTCTGATCACTGTTCAGGACACAGTGGTGCACACCTGAGATCCCATCTCCAGGAGGCTGAGGCAGGGGTTCAAGTTGAAGCCCAACTTGAACAACTTTGCAAGACTCTGTTTCCAAATAACAATACAGTAATTAAAATAAACAGGACTGGGAATATAGCTCACTGGGAAGGCCCTGGTTTTATCACCAAAAAAAGAGTCAAGGAAAAAAATACAAGAAATGATATTCCTTTGTCACAAGATGAGAACTGCGCCACAAACATTTTAATTCCAGAAAAAAAGCAGCCCATGATCAGGAAGTGATCCGAGAGTGTTTTGCCAAATAGAAAAAGATGAAATAGCACACTCAGCCATGTGTGGGTGGTATGTACCTGTAATCCAAGCACTCAGGAGGCTGAGATAGGAGGATCAATGTGAGTTTGCAGCCAGCTGGGGCTGCATAGTGAGACCTTGCTCAAAAAACAAGAAAACCCCACATACTCATTGCGGAAGCTGTATTCTCTGTAGATTCATTGCCTGCGTCTACCCAGCAAAGAAATCTAGAAATCAGAGTTGACCATTCTTTACCTTTTTATCTGGTGGAAGAGTTCACCTCTATCATTGCCTCTTCCCAGTCTCCTTTCTGGACTGGTTTCTGCTATGGTTCTCTTCCTCTTTGCTCATTCCAGTTTCTTCTGGGACACTGCCATGCCCGGACGTGTGTGGATAGATATGTATAGATCATCCTGTGCCCTTGAGGCTTCCTGACCCTGGGTCGCTCATGGTGCCGTCCAGACAGCTGAGGAGCAGAACCACAAGCCTGCCTTTTCAGCCTCTGTGGAGCTGTTTCCCTTTCCTTCCCTTCGTCAGGTTCCTGCAAGGCTTCAAGGCAAATGGTGCCCCTCAGAACACAGTGTGCTGCCCAGAGGGTCCCTCAGGATTGGGGTGTGCTTCCCCTTAATGCAGAAGACCTTGGATACATTCTTTAATGTGGCTTTTTAGTGGGTTGATTGGTCTCAGTTTTTTGAGACAGGGTTTCAGTGTGTAGTTCAAGCTGGTCTTGAATTCACTGTGTACCCCAGAGTGGCCTTGAACTCAGGACAGTGCTCCTGCCCCAGCCTCCCAGATGCTGAGATAATAGGCATCCGCCACCATACCCAGCCCTTGATGTGATATTTTTCCTTTAAGTTGATTTTAATATGGCTGCAAGAAACATTTCTAGAGAATGAATGATTTTTTTCATTACCTCCTTATTGGGCACATGCACTGTGCCTGGTCAGTGAACATGTTCAAATCCTTAATCTCCTGAGCCATAGCGCAATTTACCATATCCCAGCTTCTATAGGTTCAAAATCAAGCCTTCTTGAAATACGTTGTAGGAGAAATATTCTGGAGCAGCGATGGCGAACCTTCTAGAGCTTTCAGTGCTAACAGATGGTCTGTGGTGGCGCACACATGCCATAGGTTTGCCAGGACTGCTCTAGAGTAACATGATGCTTTATAGAAACACTGTATTTGGGCAGCGACATAAAGTCTGGCTGCTGTTGGCAAGGAGCAGTTGTGCAGGACTAGCTGTCTGGGCAGGGTGACACTCGGGCCTATCCAACGAACTCCGCATCCCAGAAGTCCTGACCCCACTGCCTGGCCTTGCTCCCCAGCACTCTAGAACTGTTGCGTTGTGGTGCTTTGCTCCTCCCCACTTCAGCATCCCTTTCCATGTGTCTCGTCTCCCATGTTTGGACTGAACTCCAAGACAGTTCACAGGCCAGTGACCAAACGGAGTCCTCTTTCCTTTAAAAATACTGCTATGATTTTCCCCTAGAATGAAGTTATGCTCATTTGTAATACAGTTTTGCATTTTAAATTCAAATGGTGACACTCTCAAATTCAGAATAATTTGATTACAAGGCCACTTAGCTGAAATCCAAGAACTTGCTGTTTAAAAATGAAAAATCCAGGAGGGGTGTTGCACAGGCGTGCTCCCACCATTCAAGAAGATAGCTGTGAGTTCCGGGCTGGCCTGGGCTGCATTAGTAGACCCTGTCTCAAAAATTAAAAAAAGAGCCAGCCATGATAGCATCATCATCCCATCACTGTAGGAGGCTGAAGCAGGAGGATCTCACATTCAAGCTCAGCCTGGATAATTTAGTGACTTAGTAACACCTTGTCTGGAAAAAAAAAGTCTGGGTATGCAAAAGTACTGGGTTCAGTCCCCAGAAGCACACCCATATACATTCTCACTCATACACACATGTACTTATTTTTGGTTTATTAATTAAAATATCAATATAATGCAGAATTGTAAGTTTTTATGTCTGTTTTTTAAAGAGAAAAATAAATCATAGTACTAGCCAGAAACTCTCCGTAGCAACTTTAAAACAAACTAGCCTCTCTGCCTCCCTCCTGAGAGAGAGGCTCTCACTTTAGACAAGGCTGGCCTAGAACCCAGAATCCTCTTGTCAGCTTTCCAGGTGCTAGGGTTACAGGCATGCACCACCATACCTGACTTGGGCTGGCCTCTGAGTGGGCAAATGGCAACCCTCACTTAGTAGTGATAGCTGTGGCTTCCTGGTCATTCCTTGTGACCTAGGACTCTGGGAAAGGTCCCAGGTTTTCATCCAGGGACATCCTGGTAGACTTTGTCTCAGAGGCATCTCTCATCTGTGTGCACTGCTATGACAGTGCACTGAGGGACAGCATCACTGTTCTGCTGAGCATGGGGGTGCTCCCAAGTCCTGACCAGAGCACAACTGTGGGTTCAGTCCCAGAGCCACACACACACTTGTGCCTGCGTGCGTCCCAGCTGAGGATAGGTGCACCTGGGGGTGGTCTTGAAGAGAGACCATGTTTTAGCACTTTGTTTCATCAGGATGAATGCAATTTATCTTCATTCTTTCAGGGGAAGTCGGCTTTGTGGTCACATTTAATCCAGTTTCAGGACAGAGAGGAGAAACAGGAGCACCTTGCAGAATCGCCAGGTAAGTTGGTGTGGAGTTGGTTTGTGGACTTGAGCTTAAGGGGACTCCACACTGGCTTCCTTGTTTCTGCCTCTGTCTCTCTCTCTCTGGAGCTAACATTTACCCGTCTCACAAGTCATAGGACAGAGCAGAAGAGCAGGATCATATATACTGATTTTTATCTTAAAGACAAATTTGTGACCATAATCTTTTAGGGGAAACTATACATTTGTGTCTCAATCTCCAAGACACTATTTTATTTTGTGTTTCTTTACTTTTCAGAAAGGGTTTTGCTGTGTTGCCATGGCTGGTCCTGAACCCAAGCTCAGCCCCCAAGAGCAGCAGGTGCACAGGTGCAGCTGCCATGCGTGCCTTAGCAGTCAGATTCTCATTTCCCAGAGGCCCCACATGTAGGAGAGTCATCATTTTTCTGAAAACTAGAGTTAAATTGGATTCCTTGTATTTGCCGTGCTGGGTCCAACCCCGAATATTCCACCTACTGTGTGTTTTTTCACAACAAGGAGCGTGCCCTTTTAAAGATGCTGGGGACTAAACCTAGGGCTTTGTACATGGTAGACAAGCACTCTACTACATATAATGCTAGCTTGCTTTAATGGAAAATAAACGTTTAGTTCACAAAAAGTAGAAGTTACAGTGAAAAATTGATAAAGGTACAATGTTTTATATTGAATCAGCCATTTAGGTGTCTTTTCTAATATTACAGCCCTTGGGAGACTGAGGCAAGAGGATAACCACAAGTTCGAGGCCAGCCTGGGCTCCATAGTGATTTTAAGAGCAGCTTGGCATACATAATGAAGCCATGTCTCAAAAAACAAACAAAAAACTTATGGATTGTATCAGATATTCAGAAATGCAAAAAAATAAAAATAAAAAATATAAAAACTCATATGCCAATCACCAGTTTAAGAAGAAAGCATTATGGGGATGGGGGTTTAGCTCAGCGGCATAAGCGCCTGCCTTGAAAGCAGGCAGTCGTGAGTTTGATCCCCGGTACTGATAGAAAAAAGAAAAAAAAAATTTAAAAAAGAAAAAAGCATTGCAACATTATATGTAATGGTACATATAATCCCAGCACTCTTGGAGGCTGACGCAGGAGGATCACAAGTTGAAGCCGAGCCTGGTAAATTTAGCAACTTAGTAAGGCCCTGAAGCCATAGCTCAGTGCAGAGGACCCGGGTTCAATCCCCAATACTGAATAAACAAAGAGAGGAAAGAAAGAGCAAGAGGGTGGAAGGAGGGAAAAATAAAATTGGGAATATGACTCAAACACCCTTATTTAGTCTTACTTCCTTTTCCTTGCCACCCTTAGAGGGCAGCACTACCCTAAATAATGTTTTCATTCTTGCAAATCAAGCTTGAAAGTGGATTTACTCAGACAGCTGTCATAGGAACATAAATTTGACACTGAATTGCCCAGGACCACTTCTGATGCCCCAGGTAAAACCATATTATTAAAGATTCATTGTAAGTTTAAAAGCATTCTTTAGTGTCATCTCCTTTTTCTATTTAAAAAGAGATTCGTTTCTGCCCTGAATTGTCCCTAACAGGAAATACAACCATTCTAACCAAAGACCACAACCATTTCACACTTGATCCTAGCCCAAAGACCAAGAGGTCATTTGATCCTAATTAGAAAAAAGTAAATTCCTCAGAGAAAACAATCAGGCTTTTGTAGGGCAACATGCTGGGAAGCCCAGCTCCAGCAAGGCCAGTAAGTGGTGGCTGCCTAGTGAACTAAAGAGAGTCCCGGATTGCAGCAGCAGCAGCGCAAAGCACTGGGGGCCCTGGCTGGTCCAGAGGGCTGCTTCCCTTGGAGTTTGTGTCTGGCCCCCTGCAGCTACCCTCAGCCAGAAGTGAGAACAGCAAAACAGAAAAGCATGTCAGAGCTCCTCTGGTGCTGTTTGTGCCCCACTGCCACGTGTTGGTGAAGGGTTAGTGATATAAGAAGGACCACAGCAAGTTACTTACTGATCCTAAGTAGCATTAGCACAAGTCATGTAGCTTTTGAATGTTAAAGGGATTAAGTTTTACTAATACTGTTCTAATACTTGTTATTCAGCCTAGTTCAGACTTTAAAATATGAAAGTATGAAATACATACAAAAACATCAGTTTAAAAATACATCATTATTGGACTGGGATGTAGTGCAGTATTAGAGCATGTGCTTAGCACATAAAGGTCGTGGTTTCAATCTCCAGCACCACGCAGAGGTAGAGAGCAAGCGTGTCATGAAACTGTGCAGAAGTAAGTTCCTTGGATAAGGGATGGAGCCCGGAAGAATGTGTGCTTGGCATGTGTTAGGTCCCATCTTCTGTCCCAGCAGCCTCAGGTCTGGAAAGATGAAGTCCAGCCTTATGATGGCAGCTCAGTGCCCTTTCTGTCACCTTCCGCTGCACTCTGACTTTTCTGAATTGTTCTGCTCTGTGAGGACACCAGATGTGCTGAGTTAGGCCTCACCTTCATGAGCTCAACTTGATCATCTGCAGAGATGCCCAGTGGGATCACACCCTGGGGGCTGGGGACTGGGCCTGGGCCTGTCATGCCATTTCAGGGGTCACAATTTGAATCACAGCAGCTACTGATGCCTTGCGTTGTCATCCAGCCCATGTTATTTCAGATCTCTGTTTTCAGCCCTAGTTTCTACCTTCAGAGATGAGGAGGGCTGATGATGTGGCTCAGTGGTAGAGTTCTTGCCTTGCATGCACAAGGCCTGGAGTTCAATCACCAGCACCACAAAAAAAAAAAACCAAAATCATGAAATTTAGGGCATCTTTTTCATCTTGGTTTTTTTTTTTTTTTTTTCGAGATAGGGTCTTGCTGTGTGGCCATGAACTCACTATGTAGCCCACCCTGGCATTAGACTCTTTGCCAGTACTCCTGCCTCAGCCTCCCAAGTGCTAGGATTATAGGCATGCACCACCACGCCCTGCATGGGAGACATTTCAACATGCACATCTTATCTCTGTCCTTGCAGGCTTTCTCATTGGGGTGTCTCAAGTAATCAGACCAGCCAGGCCACTGGTCATCTGCAGTTTGCTGGAAAGCTAAATGAACTTAGCATGAGAGCACTGTCCCCCAGAGGAGACTTGTGTGACTGGGCTGCTTTGCTACCTTTTCAGCCAAGGCTCAGGGTGTAGCTCAGAGATAGTGTGCGTGCTCAGTGTGTGTGAGCGTCCTGGGCTCAATTCCTAGCACCCAAATAGAAAATCAAAGGAAGATGAGAGACAGAGAAAAGGAAGGCAGGAGAAACGTGTTTATACTAGGATTTGAGGCCAGGCTCTTTACAACAAGCCACATCTCCAGCCCTTGTTTTTATTTTAAGAAGGGCCCCACTGGGTCGTCCAGACTTCTGCCATGGCCTCTCAGATTGCTAAGATTCAGGTGCACAGCTCCACACACAGCAGGGACAGGTTATATTCAAACATGTTAACATGTTATGTTCATGTGTCTTGAGTCCCTCTTCTTGCTGCATGCCACTGTCCTGTGTACTAGCTGGCCTTTGGAATAACTTCTGGTTCAGCTTCTTTGTTACTTTCCTTTTTAATAGTTCTGGACATCTGACTTCTTTCTCTCACACAAGCACACTGTTACTCCATTTAACTAAAAGGCACCCAAAGTGTGGCATTTTTTCAGAATCTCTCCCTACAGTTCTATCTAGCACTGGCCAAAAGTGTCTCATTATGTTGAGTCTGCAGAGTATGTGTGATGTTGACTTCTGCAGCCCTCCAAAGAGACGCCAGACTAGAGGGAGACTTTGATCGGAGTAGCCGGGATGCTGTGTGTTCTGTGCCAGTGGCTCACTCTCACGAGTCTTGTGGAGAGGGGTCAGCTTCTGGGGTCTCACAGGAGGCCAGGTTACAGCCCAGGAGTGGGCCAGAGGGCCAGCCATCTGCCCACGTAGGCATCTGTTCAGTTCCTGAAGGCTCCAACAAGCTGAGTGCTGGGTCAGTAAGTGGTGTGCACACCTGTAGTAACCATTGGCTGGAAATAAGGAGAAAGATGCAGAAGCACTGAGCAGTGAGCTTAGAACTTTAGCAGACTGAGCAGGGCACCCAGTGTCCAGGTTCTAGAGCAGGCCTGGGAGGCTGTGCTTACCTGAGAGTGAGGGTACTCCATATGCTGTTGCTTTATCACGGGAGGCACCTCTGGCGTTTTCATTAACTTATGGTGCTGGGTGTGAAGCTTTGCATATGCTCGGGCTCCACCTCTGCCCCACTTTTATTAAGCACCTCTCACCAGCTCCAGCTCCCTTGACTGTCCTGTCTCTGGCTAGCTGTGGCTTCAGTGCTTCCTGTCTGCCACAGGTCCGCATCCTAGCCTGCATCTTATTTGTGTGGCAGTCTTTCATGCTGTCTGATCAGCATCGTTCTCTGAGCCGTTTCACTGTCCCCTTCCCCCCAGATACACTTTGTTTAGTAACACACACAGGTGACATTCTGAGACGGAAGCATTAGGGCAGACAGGACTGCTCAATGCTATACATTGTAAGCACCCTCCCTAGCCAGCCGGGAAAGGGCCTTGGGCCTCTCTGAAGCTCTGATGCCTGTGGGCTGGCCAGCGTGACCCGCGCCCTCAGCAGGCCCCAAAGTAACTGCTGAGCTGGCAGGTGCTACCCACCTCTGTGTTCTCAGGGCCAGCTGTGTGTGGACAGGGACCAGTGCACACAGTCCCCCAAAGTGGAACAAATCTAAAGACAGAAACTAGCGCGTATAAACTGCAGCCAAACGCCATGCCCTAAGGTCTGCTTGTACCAGTGAATGTTCTAGGTGACATGTTGCAGTTTAGTTTTCATCCTCAGGTGAGAAAACTAGACATGGAGACCAAGCACCAAACTCCTGGGCATCTCATTGCAGGGATGCTCAGCAGGCTGTCATGGATGAAAGATAACTGGCCAGTTGGCTGCTGCTGTAGAAGTACCCTTTTTCCTTCTGTCTTCAATGTGAACTGTCAGTCTCTCTTTTTTTAATTTCATTTGCTGTACAAGAAGTTTGATTTCATCTTAGTGAGCCAGGTACAGGTACTTAATACACTGTGCTTACTGTGAGCCTACTCACTTGATAATCCAGGTGTATCATAACCTGGATTCTGAACTTTGAAGTGGGAACATACCAAACCAAAGAGCCAAAATGCTTAGAACTTAAAAAAAAAAAATTCCTTGGGATTTAATCTATGTGGCTTCAATTTATGAATCCAGAGGTGGAGAGTCATATACTTAGTAGCTTAATTTAGAGTTGTTGTTTTGGTGTGATTATCCAGAGCTACTGGGATGACTAGCTGTAAAAAGCTGAAGAAAATGACTGGCCCTTATACCTAGAATTTGCACACATTACATTATTTGAGAGGCAGACATTTAGAAAAGATTCAGATTTGCCAGGGCTGCCTCAGCGGGAAGATTCCCCTCAGCCACCTGAGGCCCCGGGGCTGTCCCCGGGTGGGGAAGTCCATCAAGTGGCAGCTGGGATTTTCTGTTGCTGTCTTTTGAGTTCTTACTGTTATTTTTCTAACACTTTGCTAATTTTTTCTACATAGTTGCCCTCGGACCAGAAAGAAGAAAATCCGACTCAGGAATTATGTTACCAACACTCAGGGTCTCTCTTATCCAAGACATGAGGTATTTGTTACAAAGAGTAGCAAATGATGATAACTGAAATATTTTATCACCTTCATCTAAATGTCTTAGTTATAGCTATGTGTATGTTCTTATGTGGCTCGTGGAAAGCATTTTAGTAATTTATTTTACTTTTATACTTTATTGTTTGCCTGATATTGAATCCAAAGGGAAGATGCAACTAAAAAGAGTTATAAAACAACTCTAAATTATTCTTTAATTTTAAAAACAATTCCCCTTAAATACCTGCTGTCGGCAGATAAATACCAAAACAACAACAGTCAATAAGGCTAAGTACAGTGGCACACATCTGTAATCTCAGCATTCAGGAGGCTGAGTCCGAAGGAGCACCAGTTCAAGACCAGCCCAGGCAACTTAGCATTAGTAAGGCTCTGTCTCAAAATATGAAAATTTTTAAAAGGGTTGAAGATACACCTCAGGACAAAGATCCTGGGTTCATTCCCCAGATTGGGGTGGGAGAGAATCTTCAGAAGGCGTTACACCATTTAAAATTTATTTGGTTTGGGTTGGTTTTTTGTTTTGTCTTGAGATGTGATCTTATTTAGTTCAGGCTGGCCTTGAACTCATTGGGATCCTCCTCCCTCAGCCTTCAAGTGCTGAGGTTGCAGGTGTGCGCCACCACACCAAGCATGCCATAGACTGTTTTGATTGAAGAAGATAAACTTTTTTCTTTTACACATTTTAGGCACAGTACTTGCCCAGCTCTTAAGATGCATGCATGTAGAATGAATGTGGTAGGGCTGGGAATTTAGCTCAGTGGCATAAGCACCTGCCTTGCAAGCAGGCAGATGTGAGTTCAATCCCCAGTACCAATAAAAAAAGAGAAAAAGAAAAAAAAATTGGAAAAAAAAAAAGCTTAAAGGAGCAGGTGGCTCACGCTGAGAGTTTGCTGAATGCTGGCTGTCAAGTTACATAGTTATGTTTAAAATGCCATTATTCTTGGGAGATGAAATGCAGCTTGAGTCTTGCTAATGGTCAGTGTGAGTGTACCGAGACGATCTCTGGTTTCTTCAGAACGTAAAGCCCACGTCTCTAGGGATGCCACAGTAGCTATCATCTCAAAGTGGTGATGGGTAACAGATTTGTAGCAGTGGCCTCAAGCTAAATTTCAGAAACCTAGCAAAGAAGTGGTCAGGTTACCCAAGGATTCCCAGCAGTGTCCTGTCCTTCATGTTTACGTACTTGAGGCTGATTTTAGGGGGAATGGAAGAGGAGCTTCTTACATCTGTGCCTGGACCTGTGTGAAAGGCAATGGCACGTCCTGGCCAGGACCCTGGGCTCCACGGTGCATGTCCGCAGTCCCAGCACACCAGGCCGAGGCAGGACCCTCACTGGAGCCCAAGGTTCGAGACGCGTGGTGGCGCCTCTGCAAGATCCTGACTTTAGAAGGAGGAGGACTGTGGCTCCCGCTCAGCTTCCACGGTTGGGCATTTTCAGCCCTGCTGTTGGCCAGCTCAGTAGCCTAGGCAATTGCGTGCCCTCTGCTTATAAAATGGTGACAGTAAAATACTTCTCTCAAAACCATGGTGTCAAAATTGAGTGAGTTCACCCGTGTGCAGTGCCCAGAGCAGGCCTGGAAATGTGCATCTGTGTGCCAGTTCTCACATAACTGCACAAGTTACTGTGCGTTACCAGGTACATTCCTAACCCTTGAGCTGGTAATGTCTCTGCTTCCGATTTCATACTACAGGAATCATTCTAGGCCTAATCTTCCCCTTTGGTTATTTGTAAGATCTTTGTCCAGTCACTTGAAACCTGGCCCTAATCTACAGTGTGTGTACTTACTGTGAACCCCAGTATGCACAGACGGCCCTTTGGGTGAGCAGGCAGGTTGGCTTGCCTGGGGGTTTTGTTGTGTTTTCCTCTGGTTTGGTTTAATTGGCTGTTTGGAGTCAGGCCCTTGCTGAGTGGCCAAGGCTAGCCTTGTACATGCTCACTTGGCTTCCTGCCTGCTGGAACTAGCAGTGCGGCTTGGTTGTCGAGGTGCTGACCCACTGCCCTATGAGAAACAAGTTTGCTAACCAAGGCAGAGTGCTATGTCCAGCTCTGGTGTTCTCCATCTTTAGCCCTTCATCATTCAGTCAAGAGAGTGCTTTCTAAAGCTTGGATCACTGCTTTCTCCTCCATTCCCTTCAGCAAGGAGTGAGCAGTATAGTTAGGTTCTTGTTAGTTTTTATTCTGTTTGCAGGTTCTTCTCATCCTAGTGGAGTTTTTGCTAATTTATGTTCAGGTTGTGAATGGTTCTCTGGACTTGACAGAGGCCCAGAGCAGGCACAGAGAGCTGTCCTGCCCCTCACACTGCTGCCTGTGCTCCTCTTCTGGCACCAGTCCCTCCTTTGTGCTCCCTTGTCCCTTTAGCAGCACTGGCCACATGTCCACAGGTTTCCAAGCATCACTGTCCAGTGAAGGGGCCATGGCACCTTGGACAGGTGATAGCCCCAAGCCAAAGTAAGGAAGACCTAGGAAGCACATTGGGCATGTTTTGGTGCCAGAACACAAAGTCATGCTCAGAATAAGTGTTTTCTTACAAAAGCGCCTCAATGAAGGATGTGAGGGATGGAATAGATAGGGCTGGTGGAAGTGGGAAGCCCTGTGAGGTGGGGCTGAGGAGCAGCCGCCCAGTTTCCATGGCTCATGGGGAGGAGGGTCCTCTGCTCGTGCTCACGTGCAGCGGAATTCCTGCGAGATGAGCCTTCCTCAGTTCTGAGTGCAGTTCTCAGAGACTGGGCAACCTTGCCAAGTCCACCAGAGGGGTCATACATCTCCCATCCCCTGCGCTGGGCCATTTCTGCAGTGTGTGCACAGCAGTGCCTCGTGTCACTGTGACCCTGGGCACTGTGAGTGCGCCAGTATCCTCTCCATCAGAGCAGGGAAGGAGGGAGGGAGGACCCAGGCAGAGACTGCAGGGCGTCCTCCCTCTGGATGCTGGCTGGGGACCAGCCCAGAAGAGATTCACAGAGTTTATTACAGCTGGTGGGTCGTTCTGGATGTGTGTTTCTGTTTTTAGATCAGAGGGAGTGGTGGCCACGGAAATGAAACTTCCCTGCAGTCATTTCCCAGTTATACTTGCAGGCCTCCCATTCCTGTCTGATCCTCCTTCCCCTTCAGGAGAAAACTGTTTAGGGAAATAAATTCACTTCCGCTGGACATAGCATGCCTTCTCTCAAAGTACATGTATGTGCACACATATGTGTGAATGACATTCAGTGGTGTTTGGCTTGTTTCTTTGTATGACTGCACAATTTTCCTAGGCCTGCCAGTTTTTAAGATTATCAACACAGGGCCAGGGGTACAGCTCAGCGGCACAATGCCTGCCTGGCAAGCATGAGGTCCTGAACCAAAAAAATAAATAAATTATCAACACAGTATAACTTGGCTTCTCTAATGCCTGGAAATAGATTCACTTTTTTCCATATATTTTCTGGAACAAACACGAGGGATAGAACTCATGACCTTGTACTTGCCAGGCAGGCGCTTACATGGCTGACCTAAATCCTTGGCCTGTAGAACAGTTATTTTTAATCTGAACTTGACCGTTCAGATTGCTGTATTACTTGTCTTTTGTTAAGAATCTGAAATAATCAGTTGCCTTATTCAAGCTGAAACCAGGATGTAATAAAGGTTGAAAGACCAAGTGAGCTGTAGGCATTTTGCCCTGAGACAGCTGTGCAGTCTGGGGAATCCCACACAGCCTGGAGCAGGCAGTGCACTGTCCTTGGAGGGCTCCCCAGCCTTCCAACTGCGTCCTGACCAGTGCTTCCTGTCATGCAGGATAACCTCCCTGTGCCCATGCTGTGGACTCTTCTCGATCCCTCTCACCCAGTGTCATGCTCAGGATCTGCTCTCTTCTGTCGCTCCTGTCCCATAGGCACATTCAGAACATGAGCGAGATCAAGACGGATGTCGGGCGAGCTCGAGCATGGATCAGGCTGTCTCTGGAAAAGAAGCTTCTGTCTCAGCACCTCAAGCAGCTGCTCTCCAACCAGCCACTCACCAAGTAAGACCGTGCTCCGGAAAACCATTGTTTCTGGGCCCACACTCTGGAAGCTGGCTGCAGAGGCTGCATCTTACTACACTGCTGTTCTGCACTTCAGCAGCAACTCGGCCTGTGCAGCATATGTGGCCATGCGTGGAAGGCGCCCCCAGCTTCACAGCCAAGGGGCAGATTGTGGGCTGAGCTTACAAACACCTTAGAAGTAAAACAGTAACAATTAGGTGAAGGAAGGAAGGGAGGGAGGGAGGGAGGGAAGGAAGGAAGGAAGAAAGGAAGGAAGGAAGGAAGGAAGGAAGGAAGGAAGGAAGGAAGGAAGGAAGGAAGAAGGGAAAGGGAAAGGAAGAGCGAGCTGCATATGGTGGCACACACCTGTCATCCCAGCACTGGAGAGGCTGAGACAGGATCACTGTGAGTTCAAGGCCAGGTTAGGCTACATAGTGAGACCCTGTCTCAAAAAGCCAAGTGGAAAAGAAAATCTGAACTAGTAAAGAAAGGACAGGGCAAGTGTCAGCAGTAGAAAGCCTTACCCGACAGTCTTGCCAGTACTTCACTGGGTAGGTGAGAGCCAGAAAAGCAGTCAGTTGAGTGTGTAGTCATTGTGACCTTTATCAAGAGGCCCTTTTGGATGACGCATGTTTCTAGCCATGTGCATACGAGGCTATTTGAAGACCAGGACTCATTTCTCAGGAGCAGAGTTATGCAAAAAATTCCCTCAGGACCTCGGAACGGATGGTCCTATTGGAAGCTTGTTGTGATTACCGATGTGTTTTCCTGTGATTCTGGATTTGTATGAATCACCCTTACATTACATACCTCATGAAGCATTTTAGGAGATTCAAGATCCAAGGAGTAGGTTTGATTTTTTTTTTTTTTTTTTAAAAAGCCAAGTGTCGTGGCATATTCCTGTCAACACTCTGGGAGGCCAAGGCAGGTTCAAGCCCAGCCTGGACAGCTCCGCAGCTGAGCAAGATCCTGTCTCAGAATGTAAAAAAGGGGGTAGGCCAGAGGTTGGAGATGTAGCCCAGTACAAAGACCCCAGTTCAATCCGCAACTTCCCCTCACAAAAAATATGATGTGTCGGGGCCGAGGATTTAGCTCAGCGGCATAAGCACCTGCCTTGCAAGCAGGCGGTCATGAGTTCGATCCCTGGTACCGATAAAAATGAAAAAGACAAAAAAAAAAAAAAAAATACGATGTGTCAGCCCGGCATGGTGGCTCACTCCTGTAATCCCAGCACTCAGGAGGCTGAGGCAGGAGGACCGTTGTGAGTTCAAGACCAGCCTGGGCTACAAAGTGAGCCCAAGGCCAGCCTAAACTGCATACTGAGACCCTGTCTCAAAAAAGACAAAAATTGTGTCATATTACTGGGGTACCTGACCTTGTTCTTTTAAATCATTGTCATCTGGTATCTTTATGTCCATCGGTCTCTCCCTGCCTCCCTCCTTCCCTTTTTCTTTCCTTCTTTCCCTCTCTTTTTAGAGTGATAAAAATCTTTCATACTCACTGGGGCAAAGGTACGAAGAAGGAATTGATGATACAATCTTGCTGCATAAAGAGCAGTACTAAGCATTTCCTGCTTTCTTCTGTATTCTATTCATATCTTGTTGGGTTAGGTAATTCTAGGTTTATGGTTCAGTACCATCCTTCATTAGCTTCACGTTATCTCATAAACTTTCACCATACAGAAGTTTAACCTGTGAAACCTGAGTGCTTCTGCTTAAATATTGCCTTTAATATTTACTGTTTGTATAGCCTTGAACCAGATACTTCTCTACCTCAGTGGTCACAGAATCAAGGGTGAAATATTTTAATGCTGTGTACATGCCTGTAACCCAAGCTATTGAAGAGACTGAGGTAGGAGGATCTTGAACTCAAGACCAGCCTGAGCAACTTAGAGAAATGCTATCTGAAAAATAAAATAAAAAGAGCTAGAGATGTAGTGAAATGGTAGAAAACTTACCTAGAACGTACGAGGCCCTCGTTCAATTAAGGCCAAAAATAAACGGAGGATTAATGCCTCTAAAAAAACACTGGGAAAAGTGCCTAATGTAAGCGCTTAATAAAAGTGAAAGCCAGGGGGCTGGACATTTAGCTCAGTGGCATAAGTACCTGCCTTGCAAGCAGGCAGTCGTGAGTTCGATCCCTGGTACCGATAAAAAAAAAAAAAAAAAAAAGTGAAAGCCAGGCGTGGTGGTACATGCCTATAATTGCAGCACTCAGGAGGCTGAGGCAGGAAGATTCAGGAGGATTCTTGCTTCCAGTTCAAGACCAGCTGGTGCTACATAGCTAGAGCCTGTCTGGTGACAATATTTGTATGGTATCTTTGCTGTTGTTCAGCTCTTTCTAAACTTTATTTTTAATGGCCATACAATATTGTAACTTTGTTTTCGGCTGTGAGGATCAGACCCAGGACCATACACATGCCAGGCGAGCTCTTCATTCTGAGCTATTCTGACTTCACGGATGACATGATGTGGAAGTACGTAAGGAACTCTGCTCCCACATCACAGTGTGTCCTCAGGGCTGGGTGCTAAGAGTGGAATCGATGAGTTGAGGGCCATGACTGCCTTAGAGGGATCATTACAGACAAACAGCTTTACAGAGTTGTCGGCCCCACAGCCATGACAGGAACTCCGTACTCTTCTTTACCAGCACTGGTATCACTGTGTCTGTCACATTTACAGCTGTACTTGACAGACACATAGGAGAGGTGTGGCTGTCTGACTTCTGTGATCAGTTCTTCCCGCACTGTGACTTCCTGTTCCTCTGTAATCCAGGCATAGTGCAGGGCATAACCCATTGTTCTGTGCCTCACCCTTCCTAGGAAGCTATACAAGCGCTATGCCTTCCTGCGCTGTGAAGAGGAGCGGGAGCAGTTTCTCTACCACCTTCTGTCCCTCAATGCAGTGGACTACTTCTGCTTCACCAGCGTGTTCACCACCATCAGTAAGTCTGGGCTACCCCAGTGACTGTGGCCAGAGGGAGCAAACCTCAGGCTCTAAAGCTGGGAGCACCTGGCCCTGCCAGTGCTATGGGCCCTGGGGTCTCCACAGGGTAGCAGGGCCTCTCCGGCTGCTGGGGTCTATCTACCCTGAGGAAGCCTCACAGGTGACCTGAGGCCTGCAGGACCCTTGCATGCCCTGACCCCTCCACAGCCTGCCTTCCTCAGTGCTGAACCCTGAGGTGGAGACTGACCAGAAACGTTGCTAGGGTTGATGCAAAGAGGGCTATTTTGTTAAATAACCTCATGTCCCAGACACAGAGCATCAGAGAGTCAGGACATGACAGTTTGCTCACATAACTGAACATCGCTGGACGTTGCTGATGCACAGAACTGATGGACAAGGAGGTCAGGTCTTTGCTGGGAGAAAATACCAATTGGCAGTATGTGTCTGATAGGATGTATACTGCAGCATGTACTCTGCCCACTGAAACTAATTCTTTATTGCAATTGGTCCCTTCTCTTTTTTTTTGTCTTTTTCATTTTTATCGGTACCAGGGATCGAACTCACAACCGCCTGCTTGCAAGGCAGGTGCGAATGCCGCTGAGCTAAATCCCCAGCCCCCGCAATAGGTCCCTTCTCTTGTGGAAGAAGTTTGCTCCTACCAGTTAGGAATTGTGTTGAGCAACAGATGTCAGAAATTTGAAAAGGGCTGTGCCTTAAACAGCACAGAGGTTTTATTTCTACTCCATGAGAAAGGGATTCATGGCCACAGACCAAGGCTGTGTCCCTCTCCTACCAAGCACCCGTCACCTCCTGGGCAGAAAGCTGCATTCTCCGTCTTCCTACCCACAGGAAGGGAGGAGGCGGCAGGGTCAAGGAGGAGGGCGGCAGGGTCTGTGCTCAAAAAACACACTTTCCTCAAGTCCCAGTTAGTATGACACTCGTGTCACATTGTGAAACTGTAATTTGCTCTCCAGGCTTTGATAAGTAAAAGGAAGTAGAAACAGGTATAACAGTGCATCTGAAATTGCTGTCTGGCTCTTCAGAGCTCAGTTGCTGCTGACATAGAATCTAAAATAAGATCTGTGGTTCCAGACAAGCAGTCGGTTCAGGTTGCTGTTTTTGTTTGTTTGTTTTTTTTTTTTTTTTAATTTTATTTAAGGAGAAAAAAAAAAGCAGAGAAAGAGTACAAGTTATACAGAATTTCAGAAAAATAATAAACAGTAGGAAATCACTAGTTAATGGATTACATATTGTCATCTTAGAAATATTTGTTCAAGTTACAAAATTAAAGCTTATATAGTGGACATTCAAACAGTGAGACCAAACAGTTCTGTTCAGTGATCCAACAAAACTCAGTAATATCATTGTCTGTCTTATACACTTAAATATACATGCAGTTATATCGTTTAGAGCACTTTGTTTTCCTCTCTTTTGTACAATGACAATTACACATTTTGGGTTTTATTGCTCCCACAGTTCTTATTACTTTTTTTGGAAGAGAGTAAAACCAAATGTGACATAACAGAACAGAGTCGGTCAAATCAAAAGGGTGGACATAATAGATAATGTAAAAACATAATACAAGGTGATCAACAATGGTTACCATAATGCCTCCCGCTATCTCTAATAGAAATGCCTATATCATCGTTATAATAAAATTGAACAAAACAGTAAAGAACGAAACCAACAAAACCAAAACATTGGAGACATTACAGGTCTTCAAAAGTAGATAATAGTCAACCAGAATGGGCATCATAATGAATCCCACTATCTTCACAGCTGTTCCCTATACTTTCGAACCTTGTACTATCAAGCAAAACAAAATAGAGGAACATCAGTCAAAACAAGATGGTAAGAGCAATACAGGGTTTCAAATCAAGTTAATAGTAAATCAAAGTGGGTTACTATAATGTATCCTATTTTTTTATTTATTTTTCCCTTAATTAAAAGGATAAAAATAAAAAAGTAAATAATAAAATAGAGATGAGATAAAAGAGGGCATAACAACAAACCAGCACAGAAAAAAACATAACTATTTAAGCAAAATAATGTTTTACCACAAGATAATCCCAACATAAAAGTAGTTACCATATTGTCTCTTTCCTTGAAATCTTTGAGTATAACTTCATATATTGTAGCATCAAATATATCAAAACAATGTAAAACCATTCAAGAGAATGACAGTATTACAGGGTATTTGGAATCAACTAACAGAAAATGAACAATGGTTTGTGTATAATCTCCTTGTCTATAAAAGTTTTGGTTTATACTATACTATACTTTATACTATCACATATAATACAATCCAGTAAGATACAACATGCTAAGACCAATGGAGACAAAAGAGCAAAAGCTTGATGGGACTTCAAAACAAGATGATACTAAATCAGCATTACCTATTATGACATCGTTTTCTCCAAAATAGCTGTTCCTATCATCTAGTCTTCTCTGCCTCATTTCTGTTGAGCTCTTTTTCTGTCATTAGTTGTCAGTTTGTCTTCTTCACTTTGTTTTCTGCTCCATTCATTGTGGCCTCTCTACCACTATTTCTGGATTCTTCGTATTTTTCTTTTTTAGAATATCCTGCAATATTCTCTGTAGAGTTGAATTGGTGGTTGCATATTCCCCTAGTTCCTCTTTATCCTGGAAGCACCTTGTTTTTCCATCAATTTCCAGGGTAGTTGTGCAGGATATTTCAATCTTGGCTGGAGGTTATTATCTTTCAAAGCTTGAATTATTTCCTCCCACACTCTTCGTGATTTGATGGTTTGCGCTGAGAAGTCTGCTGTAATTCTGATTGGTGTTCCCTTGTAAGTGATCTGTTTCTTGTCTCTGATGGCTTTTAATATTCTGTTCTTATTGGATTTCTGGTATTTTGATTATTATATGCCTGGGTGTAGCTCTGTTTGGGTTGTAGGAGGCTGGGGTCCTGTATGCTTCATACATCTGAGTATCTTTACCTTTTGCTAAATTAGGAAAATTCTCCTGGATTATTTCTGTGAGTAGCTTTTGTAGTTCATTTGTTTGTGTCCCTACTTCTTCTTTTATGTTCTTAATTCTTAAGTTATAGATCCTCTTATCATCTTCTTGTCTTTGTATTATTGCTGTTTGTTTCTTTGTTATTTTTAAGAAGTTTTTCATTTCATGCTCCCATATTACAAATCTGCCCTCCAGTTCAGATAATTTATCCCTAGTTTCTTTCAAGCTGTTATGCCAGTTTTCGATAGAGTTTTTAGTTTTCTGGTAATCTCTTTGAAACTGCTTCACATATTCTATGCTTTCTCTATTTTCTCCATCAAACAATTCTCCCCTCTTTTTCTGTTCTTCCATTCCACCATCTGTTTTTTCTTGGGTGGTGCTTAGCATTTCTCTAACCATTTCTAGCTTCAGGTCATTAATAACTTGATTCCTAAACTCATCTATGAGGCTCTGGAGATAGCACTTTATGTCTATTGGTGCGGTGTCCACTATTGCCTGTTTCTCAGGATTGGGGGCTGAGGGGCCTTTCTTGTTGCTCCCTCTTCCCATATTCTTTGTTCCTTATATATGCAAGCGTATATAGGAGGCCCAGCTTCTTTCCCTGTTGGCCACAGTCTGATTGAATTGCACTGGCTAGGTGTTCCCGCCCACCGCAGCGCACCAGGGAGTTACGGACCAGGCAGCCTATGTGGGGTCCGCCCTTCCAGGTCTCCTTTAGGCGCTGGGACCTGGGCTGTGCTAGCCTACTGGGTCTCAGCCAGCAGCGTCACGTAGGCTAGGTACTGCTCACCAGTCCCGCTTGAGAGGGGGATATGTGACTGAAGTCACTACAGCGCCCTGTTCCAGCAAGTCTGTCCGGTCCCAGAATGTCCTCTGTTGGAGCCTCCTAGATCGTGGAAGAGTCCCAGTTTCTCTGACTCACCGCAGGTCGATGCACGGCTCCCCGCCCATCCTGCTCTCAAGTCCGTTCACCGATTCCCGTTCTCAGAGCTTTCTCACGTCTGTCTCCCTGCTGAGTCGATTCAGATGTAGCTGCGGCAGCAGGAAACCCAAATCAAGGTTTCCAATGGCGCGGGCTCCAGCTTCCACGCTGAGGCTTTATCTGTTCCTGTTATAACACCAGGATTGCATTCCCAGTTGGTTTCTCTCAGCCCAGTTCGTTCTTTGGTCAGCAGGGCATATCTCCTCTCTTGCTTAGGATTCCTCACTCCACACCATTCCTGGATTCTAAGCTGGGTCTTTCAAGAGAGCCTCCGTAGCTGCTGCTATCTGTCCGCCATGTTCTCCCAGAAGTCCGCCTGCCTCCTGTCTGCAGATCTGTTCTCTGCATCTTCACCTGGAGAACTCAGTCCTGCGCACAAGTTACCTGATGTGGCAGCACTGCTCTTCTTATTCATCTGCAGAGTAGCTGCAGGCAGGCTGCTGATCCCACTGCAGTACAGAGCAGAGCAGGGCTCTGGACAGTCCTTGTTCAGTAGGAGCTGAGGGCTTCCGGCACCAGGCAACCAACATAAAGATAGCTGCATAAAATTAGGAAATAAACCACTTAACACCATTCATTCTTCTGTCTCAGGAGCTTAGATTGAGACCCTGTCCTGGCAGCCCGTTCTGCAGGTGATCTCTATTCAAGGACAGTTTCTACCACTCAAATCTTATAACCCAGTGGTTGGAAATCACAAAGGCTCCAACGAAAAAGTATTAATTCTACCATGTGTTTTATAACAAGTATGCTGGGCATGGTGGTACACACTTGTAAACCTAGCACGTGAGAGACTGAGGCAGGAAGGTTGCTGTGAGTTTAAGGGCAGCTACACAGTATAATGCCATGCTGGACTGCATAGCAAGACCTCCACTCACAGAAACCAGAACAAAACAAAGAAGATGTAACCTGGGTGCAGTGGCATGTGCCTATAATCCCAGTACTTGAGTCCCACCTCAGGCAGGGTTTGGGAGGGAGGTTGGGGAACTGATAAGTGAACAGAGGTATGCTAATGTATTTAAAGCCTCTTAGCTTTCTGAGAAAGGAGGAGCCATGCAATCTACCTGGCCTGCATAGAAAGGGCTGCAGTGCGACTGTGCCATCTAGTGGTGATTTTTGGAAGTGTCCCGAGAAGAGAGGGCTGTGGTCACCCTCCTGGCTCTGCAAGGCCCAAGGCTCATCTGGGGGGTCAAGCATTCTTCAAGAAAATCAGCAATAGGGGCTGGGGATTTAGCTCAGCGGCATAAGCGCCTGCCTTGCAAGCAAGCAGTCCTGAGTTCAATCCCTGGTACCAATAAAAATGAAAAAGACAAAAAAAGATAAATAAAGAAAATCAGCAACGGAGCCTAGCCAAGAAGTCATCTGCCCCTGTTTTTATATGAAATCAAATCAGTAACCATGTTCATTCATACTCATTTTTTTCTGTTTTTTGATAAAGGGTCTCAATTTGTAGTGTAGGCTAACTTTTAACTCAGGCTAACCTTGAACTCATGGCAGTGCTCTTGTCTCAGCCTCCTAAGTGCTGGGATTCCATCTGTGCGCCACCACACCCAGCTTTGTGCTTAGTTTTGTTTCAGAATCAATTTTCAAACCTAAGCAGGAGCCAGGCACGGTGGTACGCTTCTGTAATGTCAGCATTGTGGCGTGCCAGGGCAGGAGGATCACTAATTCAAGGCCAGCCTGGACATCTTAGAGACCCTGTCTGAAGACTTAAAGGGGTAGGATGGGGATATGGCTTAATGGTAGAGCACCCTGGGTTTGAGCCCCAGGAGAGGCAGGAAAGCCTGGGGGTGCAGTTTGCCTCATATAGGCAAGGCAGGGGTTCAGTAGCAGCACTGTGGCATTGTCAGTGTGCGTGTGTCCTCAGAGATTCCCCTGCAGTGCTAAAGGCTGTTGCTAGGTGGTAAGTGGTGGTTACATCCTGACTACCCAGGTACAGAATGGATAGTCAGGAAGCCACCACGTATGTACAAGGACTTAAGAGTTTACAACCTGACTTTAGACCTCTTCTTTTTTTTTTTTTTTTTTTTTTTTTTTTTTTTTTTTTTTTTTTTAGACCTCTTCATTTTTACATGCAGTGTAAGTACATCTTAAAAGATCATGCTGTTGGTTCCTGATGCACATCTGTAACCGTAGCACTCAGGAGGCAGGAGCAGGAGGACTGAAAGTTCAAGGCCAGGGGAGTTTATTGTAATTTTTCATTGATTTCCACCTTTTGCTTGCAGTGATCCCCTACAGATCTGTGATCATCCCGATTAAAAAGCTGAGCAATGCAATCATCACCTCAAACCCTTGGATCTGTGTGTCAGGAGAGCTGGGAGACACGGGGGTGATGCAGATCCCCAAGAACCTCCTTGAGATGGCTTTCGAGGTGAGTCTGCAGGCTCACTCCTTGCAGGGGCCTGAGCGCCTTGTTCGCATTCTGCCTTCTTGTTTCCATTTTACCTAGGGCAGGAGCATGTGTGACTGCACATTTCTGTTTACAGCAGCTTTTGTCACCATTGCGTATCATTACGGCCATCAGTCACTGTTCAGCTGTCTTCCCACTGTCCTGGGCATGGGCCACTGCAGTCCGTGAGGCCCGGGCCCAGCCTCAGCCCTGGCTGATGGGACAAAAGAGAGCAGCTCACTGTCTCCCCATAGCCACTCTCTTCCTTGCCTGTGTCTCCTGGGTCTTTGGCAAAGGACCAGAGGCCAACATCTTGCTTACCCCACTGTGATGTTCACAGAGAGACTTGGTAAAGATGCCTGTTTGTGACAGCTGAATTCCAGGTCTCACCTGTTAAATGATTTTCATGGTTTTGAGTGCATATTGCTTTCTTGTGTGGATGTTTTGTTTTGTTTTATCTTTTTGAGTCAGGGTCTCACTATGCAGCTCAGGATGGCTTTGAGCTTACTTTGTGGCCCAGGCTGGTTTTGAACTCACAATAATCCTCCTGCTTCAGCCTCCTGAGTGCTGGAATTATAGGCGTGTGCTACCATGCCCAGCTTTGCACATTCGGTTTGATCCTGGCATACAGGAAGAATTTAGGAGGGAAGCAGTCCTGCCCAAATCTCCTATTCTTGTGTTCTTTATGGTCTAGGAGTGGAGGCCAGCAGTTCTTGGGCCTCCTGTATAGTATGTAATGAGCTCACAGCTATCTGGATGTGAAAAGTTTGGGGGTTGTTTTGTTTTGTTTTGTTGGTACCAGGAATTGAACTCAGGACCTTGTGCTTGCCAGACAAGCACTGTGCTGCTGAGCTGTATCCCTGGCCCATGAAAGATTTTTAAATCCCTGGATTTTTTTTTTTTTTTTTTTTTTTTTTTTTTGCCTACCAATCACAGACGTTAAGCCACCTCATGAGACACATCTTACAGTTTCCAAGTCTTCACACTGTGTCTTTCCATCTCTACTGTGTTAGTAAATCACATTACCATCTTCTTTCAGTGAGATCACCACCTGCCTTGTGAAGAAGCCACAATCTCCAGGCATATGGCACAAGCCTGTAATCCCATTACTAAAGGGGTGGAGGTGGAAAGATCATGGGTTCAAAGCCAGGCTGAGCTGCATAGCAAAACCATTTCAGAAAACCAAAGCAATCCAGGCATGGTGGTGCGTGCCTGTAACCCAGCACCTTGGGAAGCTAAGGCAGTGTCAGTCAGCTATAGTCAGTCAACCACACTCCAAACAAACTATGTGAAAGGTTCCAGAAATAACACATAAGTTTATTTGATTTGAGTTTTCTTGTTTTGGTTTTTCACTGTGCTAGGGATCAAACCAGGATCTTGCATGTGCTAGGCAAGTGCTGTTCTACTAAGCTGGATCCCCAGCCCCTTATTGAAAACAGAAAAGTATAGAATAAAGAAAATGTACACAATACATAATAGAGCATCACTCTGCTATAAAGAAGGACATTTGACTCATTTTTACAAAACTAGATATACTTTGAGACCGTATTATGTGAAATAAATCAAACACATAAACTTAAATACCATACTGTTTCTCCTACATGAGAAGCCCAAAATGTAAGTAATTTAAAGAGCAGAAGATAGCTTGTAGAAAACAGGGAGATACACATGGGAAGGAAAGGGAAGTTGAGGAAGTAGAAAGAATTAAGATATGTCATGCACACGTATGATTTTTTTTAAAAAAACAGACACCGTTTTTTCAAGGCAGGGTCTTGCTATACAGTGCAGGCTAGCCCTGAACTCCTGCCACCACTCCTGCGACCCCAGCCCTGGAGGGACGGGCACACGTTGGCAGTTTGGGGTTTGGGTTTTGCCGGCCTCTCTGTAAGTCCATGTGGACCTCTTCTGCCTCTTAAATGCCCTTCCCTCTCTCAAGGCCAGCAGCTTGGCGTTCTCGCCAGGACCCTAAGCCACACGCAGTAGCTGTCCCTTCCCAGTGATCCACCCACACTCCCTCATGTATCAGCCCAACCCCTTGGCAGGTGACCAGTCCTGTGCTCCCAGACAGTAATACCATGGTGTGTTTGCCTGGGTGGTCCCCGCAGGCGCCCCAGGGACAGGCAGGCAAGGTATAATGTGCCTGTACTCCCGCCCTGCAGTGTCAGAACCTGGGGAAGCTCACCACTGTGCAGATCGGGCATGACAATTCCGGGCTGCTGACCAAGTGGCTGGTGGACTGCGTCATGGTCAGAAATGAAATCACGGGACACACGTACAGGTGAGGAGGGGCATGGGGAAGAAGGTTTCCCCCATTTTCTTTCTAAAGCTTTAGTCTGTTTTGAGGGTTTTTTTGTGTGTTTTTTAAATGTTGTGATGTAAAATTGTCTCCAAAAAAAAAAAAAAACAGAGGTATATCTCAGCAGTACAGTGCCTTCCTGGCAAACACAAGGTCCTGAGTTTGATTCCCATTACAAACAAAAGCCAGGCATGCAGATACATGCCTGTAACCCCAGCACTCTGGGAGGCTGAAACAGGAGGATCATGCATTCAAACCCAGCCTGGGTAACTTAGAAACTTAACAAGACCCTGTCTTAAAATTTTAAAAATAAAAAAGTTTTTTAAAATGCTGGGATATAGTTCAGTATGAAGAAGTCCTGGGGTTCAATCCCCAGTACCACTAAAAAAAAAAACATATTTGCCACTAATGCTTAGTCCTCAAGTGTTGAAAAAAATCTCTATAATGATGGGAAATTAAAGAGACCTTAAAACACTCCTTTTTTACTGCTGGGAATTAAACGCAGGGCGTTCACCCCGAATTTCATCCCCAACTCTTTTTTTAATCTTTTTATTTTGAGAGTGGATTCAAACTTGCAGTCCTCCTGCCTCCATTTTCCAGAGTGCCCAGGGATGTCCAGCTTGAGATACTTCTGCTGAGAGGAGAGGCCAGATGGGATGAGTTACACTGAACTCTGCCCTGCAGGGACAGCCTGCACCTGTACCCACATTTTAACTCCTCCCTCGAAAATGCTCAAAAATTAGCCAGAGCTTTCATAATAGACTAGGTGTAAAACAAACACTGGGTCCCCAGCAACACAAAGGGAAAAGAGAGGACACACTGTAAAAGAACTGCTGTGACTGGGGTGTGATCCCAGCACTGGTCCTCAGCTAGATGTCCCAAGTGTCATCTTGTCCGCTGCAATGAAAGCCAAACGTGGGAAACACAGGTGTCTGAGGCATTCTGCTATTTCTCTGCATTTGTAAAGAGTTCGTAGTAAGGAAACATCTCAGAGGACTGAGGGCACAGGGGCTCCCCACAGGGCTTGCTTGCCCTGATGAAAGCCTGGAGAGGCTGCTGACTTGGCACACCCGTGCTCCCTACAGGTTCCCGTGCGGACGCTGGCTGGGGAAGGGCGTGGACGATGGGAGCCTGGAGAGGATTCTCATAGGGGAGCTGACGGCACCAGCAGCAGAGGAGGACCTGGGGAAGCAATGTCGAACCCCGCCCCAGCAGAAGTCGCCTACCTCAGCCCGGAGGCTGAGCATCACCTCCCTGACTGGGAAGGCTGCCAGTGAGTAGCTGGCTCTTTTATTGCCCAGCACACCTTTTACGCTGCAGAACACAGCTGCATAAATGAATGTGGTGAGGGACAGAAACTGAAGAATGCCAGGCATGATCTCAGCCAATAGGCTGAGGCAGGAAGATCACAAATTTCAGGCTACCCAGAGCCGCTTAGCAAAGCTGTGTCTCCAGATAAAAAGGACTGGGGGTGTAGCTCCTACCATTCCTGAGGCCCTCTATTCAATCCCCATCACTTCCAAAAACAAAAAGCAGGATCTGAGGAAAATGGATCTAGGAGATGGGATCTTAAAAGGGAGGTAGTCTGGTGTAGGGGACACACCTTTAATCCTACCACTCTGAGAAGCTGAGGTAGGAGGATGGCAAGCTTGCAACCCAGGCATCCCAGTGACATAACAAAACATTATCTCAAAGCAAAATACAGCTCAGGGCCTGGGTCAGTCCCCAGTGCCACACCTGTCAGTGATAAATAAGGGCCTCAGGGAGAGGGTGTGTAGCTTGTTGGGAGAGTGCATGCTTAGCAGGTACAGGGCCCTGGCTTGGTCCCAAGCTCCAAAATACTTCTTTAATTAATTTAATTTAATCAGAAATGGACTTCTCCAGTAGCCATTCAGATTATTATATATTCTGAATCTAGTTTCAGGAAAGTAGGCCTGTTTTTGAGAGAACATTATCCTCCTAATTTTGCTTGCATTTTCTTTCCTTACTTAATAAACAGAAAATTTTATCTGAGACTTAGAGATGCATAACTGGGTATTTTCTCATCCACTGGGAAATAATCAAAAGAGAAGTTTTAAATCCATTTCAAGCTACTACAGACCAGGGTATAGCTCTTTTGGAGCAGATACAGACCCTCCTCTTTAACAGCTGAGTTCAGCTTCTGAGTAGTGAACTGGTCACTGTGTGTGCACAATAGTCAGAACAAAGACGTGATCAAAGGAAACTCCGGCACCATGACCTTGCTTTAATTTGTATAATCTTACATGCAGTACTGTAATGTATAGCAGAACGTAAAGCTACAACGACCATCAGCAAAGTTACCACTACGGAAGCTACCCTAAGGCCACTCTGCCACTCTCTTTCCTGTATCACAAACCCAAATGCAGGTCAGAAGTCTGAGCAGTTGTTTAACAAGTCATTAAGGAATATCTGTAAGGTTTTGTTTTTTGTTTTTTTGTTTTTTTGTTTTTTTTTTTTTTTAAGCAAAGTCTTGCTATGTAGTTCTGGCTAGCTTTGAACCCACTAAGTAGCCAAAACTGCCTTGAACTCTCAGAAATCTTCCTGCCCCAGCCTCCCCAGTACTGGAATTACACGTGTGCGCCATCAGGCCCAGCTGTAAAAATTTTCAAAATAAACTTGATATTTTAAAGAGAAGTGAAAGATGAAACAGAACTGCTGGGTAAAGAGACTGCTAGTTGCTGAAGAGACTGCAATGTCAATCTGCAGGTCCAAGACAGTTGCGTTTTAACAGTTTCTGTGTCATGATGTAGAAATAGAAGGGAAGTCTACACCTCCTTGTGTTTTTCCCATTTTTGGCGTGGCCTCTGAGTGATGCCGTGCACTGTGACCATCTGTGGCACCCCTGTCCTTGCACTGTGGGCTCTCACTGTGACCTGGAGTGGCCTCCCTTCACTGTTTTACAGGGCCTAATGCAGGGCAGATCCAGGAAGGGATTGGAGAAGCAGTGAACAACATCGTGAAACATTTTCACAAGCCTGAGAAAGAGGTACAGGGCTGCAGAGCCGAGCTGGCAGGGCTGGTGTGGGAGGCCCAGGAAGTGTGGGTCCTCCAGGGCGCCCATGGGAGGCCCCCTCTTCCCTTGCACGGTGTGTTCCGCTTCACAGAGGGGGAGCCTCACCGTGTTGCTCTGCGGAGAAAATGGCCTGGTCTCAGCCCTTGAGCAGGTTTTCCACCACGGCTTCAAGTCAGCCCGCATCTTTCACAAGAACGTCTTCATATGGGACTTCGTGGGTGAGTTGGGCAAGTGCTTCCAGGTCCTGAAAGTGCATCCTGGAGAACACAGGACCCAGGACCTGAGAGAAGACAGACAACCACTGAGGCAGGAGGTTTAAAGATAAACACCAAATGTATACTACCGTTGAAGCTTACTCAGTAGATGTTCATAGTACATACTGCATTCCACACCTGGCCTCAGACGCAGCAGACAGAAACACCTCCAGCTGGGGACTCATCTGCTTTGGGCAGGGAGCACCAATGGTATGCAAAGGCTTAACAAGATATAATTCACCCAGTACATTGGAGCCAGTACAGTGGTATATGCCTGCAATCCCAGCACTCCGGGAGGCGGAGGTGGGAGAACTGCAAGCCTGAGCCCAGCCAGGACAACTTAGTGACTTAGCGAGACCCTGTCTCAAGATTCAGAAAGGGGAAGAGTGCCATGGCTGTGCATGTAGCTCAGTGTGAAGGCCCTAGGTTCAGTCCCAGCAGAACTGTTCAGGCAGAACAGCAAGAGCAGTAAACCTTCCAGCCTTCTGGGAAAAGTTGCAGCCTTGGTTGGAAACCTTTCCTGGGAGCATATTGTTTCAGCATGGGCCGTAGCCCCTGAGAATCTTAGCCACGGATGGGGTCAGGGAGGGGCCTGGCTTCAGGACCAACTGCCACCAGAGCCTCTGGGAGAGGTTAGATGCTGGGTCTCTCGGGAGTGAGGTGCTGCTTGCGTTGTGATGTGATTCTGCTTTCCTCCCCCAGAGAAAGCGGTTGCTTATTTTGAAACCACTGACCAGATTCTAGACAGTGAAGATGAAGTTCTTATTCAGAAATCGTCCTGCAAAACCTTCTGCCACTATGTAAATGCTATTAATACTGCACCCAGGAACATTGGGAAGGATGGCAAATTCCAGATTTTAGTTTGCCTTGGAACACGGTATAAAACCAGTTTTTTACTTTCCTCCTTTGTTACTTATTAAGCAGGAGTCCAAAATTATAGCAAAGCTCACTCTTCTTTTCATCCCAACTTTTATTCCAAAACTCCTGTTCCCTAGTGTCCCCTGTCTTGTCACTACCACCACTGCATGTGGCTCCCATTTCCTGCAAGGAGAGCACTGAGTGCCAGGCGGACAGCAGACCCCGGAAGTGTATCAGAAAGTCCAGGCCCTGAGTAAATCCTCAAACTGTGGGTAGAGCTCAGCTGCAGAGTGCATGCCTGCAATCCCAGTGCTTTGGGAGGCTGGGGCAGGAGGATCCCAAGCTTGAGCCCAGCCTGACAGCTCAGTAACCTGGCAAGACCCTGTTTCAAAATTCAGGAAGGGAGGGTTTTGGGGTCATGTATGTAGCTCAGTGTGAAGGCATTGGGTTTAATCCCCAGATTTTTTTTTTTTTTTTTTTAAACTGGGGATCGAACTCACGATCTAGCACTTGCCAGGCAGGCACTTAATGCCGCTGAGCTACATCCCCAGCTAATCCCCAGTCAAAACAACAATATTAGTAAATCTTCCAGCCTTCTGGGAAAAATTGCAGCCTTGGTTGAAAAGATTTCCTGGGAGTACATAGTTCCAGCATGGACTATGGACCTGGAGAATGCGTTGTGAACCAAGGAGGGACTTCAGGACTAAGAAAAGGGAAAATAGATGAAGCATGGTTAGGTTAGCAGACTTTCCCGGGCATGCAGCAGGGAAAGGAAAAGCCAGGATTTCCTCCCATCCCCACTGGTCGGAGGGCACTGGTTGGGGCTGGTAACCCACTCCAGCCTATACCTTTGCCCTCTCCGTAGAGCCCTTGTGCAGTATTGCTTCAGATTGAGTGACACGATGGCTTCTCTTTCTCTTCTATTTATGTACAGTGGTAGCTCAGTTCATGAATGCTTTTGTTTGCAAACCATTCAGTTTGTAAACAGAAGCGTTCTGCAAACTTTTGTTTTTCTTCATGAACCCTGCATCAACCTGGCCACCTTTTCCCGAATCCAGGGATGAACTGAGGCACCACTATATTTGTATTGCCAGCCGTCAAACACTGACATTGACCCAAGCCCTGACTTCCCCCCTCTCCAAAAAAAAAGGCATAGAAACTAACATCCTACTCTGTTACTGTTCGTTTGTGTGCTGCCAGGCTTTAGCTGAGGCCTGGCACTTGCTGAAAAACTATCACTGAACCATTCCCCAGCCCTCCACAGCCCCCTCCATACAAGAGACTGAAGCCACAGTTTTTGAACAGGTTTGTGTCTCCAGCCCTTTTTTAATTTTGCAATAGGGTCTCACTAAATTGCTGATTTGCCCCCCAAGTTGGGCTCCAGTTTGAGATCTTCCTGCCTCATCCTCCCAGATTATTAGCAACTTTTTTTTTTAATCCATACCTGGGATCGAACTCACGACCGCCTGCTTGCAAGGCAGGTGCTTATGCCGCTGAGCTAAATCCCCAGCCCTCTACCCCCCCAGACTATTGAGATTATAGGCATACACCACCATACCTGACTTCTACTTCTTTTTAAATGTGATAAAATTAGGATTTTCTTCTTTTTTTCGGCATTATGTTGGGGATGGAACTCAGGGTCTCAGGCATATTAAGCAAGCACTCTGCATTCTCTACTGTTGTGGAGAATTTTAGGGTCCCAGATTCTGGATACATTTTCAGCATCAGGTGGGGTCCCCCCTTAGTCTGGTGCTCCCGGGGCTGTCTTTCCCAGTGCCTCTGCCACCCCTCAGCAACAATGTCCACATGGAGGGGCTGGGGATTTAGCTCAGCGGCATAAGCGCCTGCCTTGCAAGCAGGCAGTCATGAGTTCGATCCCTGGTACCGATAAAAAGGAAAAAGACAAAAAAAAAACAATGTCCACATGGGGTTCAGGCTGGCTCTGCTTGACTCCGCAGGGACCGCCTGCTCCCACAGTGGATCCCGCTGCTGGCTGAGTGTCCTGCCATCACCCGCATGTATGAGGAGAGTGCGCTGCTGCGCGACCACATGGCTGTCAACTCACTCATTCGGATCCTGCAGACCATCCAGGACTTCAGCATTGTGCTGGAGGGCTCACTCATCAAAGGCGTGGACGTGTGAAGGAGGAGAGGAAGGCTGGGTGGCAGGGCTTCCCCTGCAGCTGGCTCAGCTGCAGACCATAGTTGCTTTAAACCTGGAATTTAGTATAAAATAGAGTATTTTCATGTGGTAGATGTGTGTAAATACGCTATCTTCTGTAAGAAGTCCTATGACCCTAATGAGATATTTTCCTTAGATGGCATCTCCCTGTGAGTTTAACTGTATAGTTTGGAGCCAGTTAGGAAGAAGCCAGGGGCGCAGCAGGGGTGTCACAGAGTGGCCCAGCCCCATAACTTCCAGGTCATTGCTCCATGCCTTTCCACTCCTCCCTTCATGTCACTCTTCCAGCTTTTGCAGCATTTTCTCAGCCACTCGAGGTAAAGACAGGAAGTACTTTAGCCTCAGGCCTGGAGCTGGGCGTGCTGGAGAGTGCAGGACGGAGTCCCGGGAGGCTGGGTGTACTGTCAGCACTGGAGGAAAGCAGCCCGGCTGCCTCTTGCAGGGCATCTCCAGTGCAGGTGGCTCACCCACCCTTGCAAGGGAAGGACAATGGAGGGAGGCGGAGGAGGCCACCCTCTTGGTGACCTGCACTGTTTTTGTGAAAATTTTGTTGGCTGTGATAATGCAAATCACAAAAGGAGAAGGGAAGAATGAATCCTTTCTGGGTGTCTCAGGGTAAGCTTTGTGTCCCTCTGTGGGAAGGGGCAATAATGTGAAACAACTGGCCAGGGAAGTTCAAGGCCACTGTGGAACAGCCTGCCTGCATGGAAGCAAACCAGGAGGCAGCCACCACATAAGATCAGCAGTTGTGCATGACTCTGCAGTCTGGTGGTTTGATTAGGTCTTGATTTTGTTTTTTGAGAGAGCGTCCCAAGTTGCCCAAACTGGGCTCGAACTTGCCATCTTTCTGCTTCAGTCTCTCAGAGTATTGACCTGCCGACCTGCTTTTCATGCCTGGGCAGTTTGATAGTTTATAAAGAAGCTGAGTGTTATTAGTTACCTTAACTTTGTCTTCGGGCACGTCTTTGAACTTATGGGCACTGGCAGAGCATAAATGAAATCACCTCAGCAAAGTGCATTGTTTACTCTGCTGTGGCTGAGAAGCCAGTGGGGCCCTGGGGGATTGGAGGTCCTGAGTTTCCACCAGCAGTGTGGTGTAATGAAGCAGTGGCCCCTCCTCATCTGCTTGGCCCCGTGGCGCTGAGTCTGGGCAGGCACCTGGAGGAAACAGTGACTGTGTGGTAGTCCAGCCACGCCAGGAATAGAAGAATATGGTGGCGAGCGAAGCCCACTGCCCTGGCTTTGGCTACAGTTACTGATCGAGGCTGGAGGGGCAAGAGTTCAAGGCAGACTGAGCAGCCCAGGGAGACCTGGTCCCAGAATTCAGAAAGAAACTGTAGGTACCAATGCGGGGTCACTCCCGCAGGCTTTCCTGCAGGCCGTGCTTCTGGTCTTCTGCCTTGTCTTCCCATGGGACAGCCAAAAGGAAACCATGGGCCACTCCGCCTCCCGCCAACCTGCAGTGCACCACACTCCCTGCAGGGCCTTCTGCAGTCCTTTTATTCATCTTCCTGTACAGGTGGGAAATAACGTCCCCCCACTGTGCACTTGTAAGGACTGATAATGCATTAGAAGTCATGTCTGCTGTGAAAACTGGGAGCAGAGTTGCATGTGGGGCCCGTGGGTGACAGCTCATTCTTTTGAATACTTCCAGTGGTGGTAAATCTTAGCCTTTCAAAACAGATTTAATACTGGCAAGAGCATAAAGTGCTTAGGATCCAAGTCAGATGCATAGGAAGAATGCTGCAACTGGAGTTGGAGTCATCGAGTGCAGTCATAATTTAATTCTCCTTTGGCTTTAACTATCTCTAAGCCAATTCCAGAATATTTTGAGCAAGCAAGTAGCAGAACCCTTGAAAAAAGTCTTATATCTGCACAAGCTGACTTTTTGATGGACCATGCCCACTTAAAGGTATCCTCTCTGTGGTGTTAATTTTCCCACTCATTGTTGCTTTAGAATCACACTTCAAAGAAGATAGCCAAAACTCTGCCTGCACTCCCACCTCATAACCTAACAGTTAATGCCTAGGATCATAATTAGGGCTGGGGATTTAGCTTAGTGGCATAAGTACTTGCCTGGCAAATGTGAGGTTGTAAGTTTGATTCCCAGTACCAAAAACAATAATAATAATAATAATTAGGGTTTTTACATAAACAGCCTCAGAATGGAGTTGCTGGGCTGGGGTGGAGCTCAGTGACAAGCACCTGTTAACACACCCTGGGTTTCTTCTCCACCACTGCAAAAGTAAATCCAGTGGTGCTTCGGTCTGTGAACTTGCTTTGTCCTGCAGTTTGGGGGAAGACAGCTGCCTTTGTTTTTATGTGGGGGAAGATGGCTGTGGTTGTGTTTGCCACCCAGTGTGGAGTTTGTAAATGGAAGCAAAGTTTTGCCAAATGCTTTTGTTTGCAAACCAAATTGTTTGCAAACAGCAGTGTTCGTGGACCAAGGTATTTTACTGTACTAAATCCATGGCCAAAAACTTAACTCCTCAAGAGTTTATTCTCTGTGTTTTTCATATTCTAAAGCCTGCACTACCATCCTTTCTGAGTGATTGATAGCGTTCCTGTGTCTGGCCTTGGAAGGAGTGGGCAGCATCAGCACCTTAAGGACGACTAGGGGCAGGGGCAGGTGGAGGGTGGCACTGGAGGAACTGGCTCCAAGGGGCTCCCAGGGTCAAAAGTCAGCCTCCCAGCCAGCATCTCACTGGTAATAAGAGTTTGATACAGGAAATAAAAATGTGCAAAGGCTTGGATTTCCCTCTACATGTCATTTTAAATATTTCACACATTTTTATACCTTTTGTAGCCCTGTGGTGTTTATTTTAACACAGCTTTTACAAAATTGTTTTAATGAATCTGTCACTATGTGAATGATGTAAGGGAAATACTGAATTGTTCATATTTCCTTTTTTGGCAATAAAGCACTGTTGTATGTAACTAAGTGAAAAAGAGGCTAAGACTATGCATATCAGCTTATGTGTAGTATATTTTGACACCCCAAGATATTTTGAAACATAAGGCAAGGACCCCAGATCAGGGATGTATTTATTTGACAGCATTGAGAATATAGCTCTTCATAATGAAATATCTTCTTCTGCTAAGAATTAAGACTTTTCAATAGAGTTTTTCATTTAGAAAACTGAGTATTTCCTGTGAGGTTTACAGAAACTAGTCTACCCTTTTCAGTGTTGAAAGGACAATCAGATCTGTGGTACTGATGTCTCAGTATTAATACACTTCACCGATAGAGAAGGGCCTTGAGCTCTTTGTCTGTGAAGTGAGCCCTGTTTCTACGTGGTCTACCCGTCTCTTCCATGAGTATGCACGTGACCATTCAGTGTATGTAGGAGACAGAAAGGATAGAGAATGACTGGGTCCCTTATAAATCTGTTGAATCAAACAATTCCAGGCTCTTTGAAGAGGTGCTGTCGCGTTGCGATGGAAGGAATCCAAGGAGGGCTGGGCTGTAGCTCAGGTGTGGAGCACACACTTGGCATGCAAAAACCGTAACTTCAAGATCTAATGCCAGCATGAAAACAAGTCATCAAGTCAAGCTTTTCCAGTCTGGAGCAATCCAGTATCTCCTCAGGTTGTGTGGGAGGGAATCATGCTCAGTCCAGTTAACCGAATGTACTTGTGTGTTGGAGCCTGTCTTTATCCTGCACATCACATCGCTTTGACAGTAGAGGAGTACAATAAGGAGTCTGTTACCAGCCAGTAGAGGGTGTGAAGCAGAGAAAGTCCTGTGTTAACACTTGAACCATGTATAAATGTATCTTGTGTCTTTTTTTAATTAGCATTTCTGCATTTAAATTATATTTTTCCTTTGTATTGTTAACAGAGTTGTATCAGAACTGGATTCTTTTTTCCTCATGTGAACGTAATACAAAATTTCAAGAGTATTGTGATATTAAGCACTTTAACATATCAGACAAACCGATGTAGGTTTTTCAGGTTTTGGAGTACATTTAAATATGACTTTTCATGCTTTGTTCTTTACAAATAAAATTGTGGGATTGATACTTTGTTCTGTTTTTTTATTGGAGAATTTTACTGCTCACAGGGAGTGAGATTTTAAAAGCAGAGATCAGACTCATTATTTAGTTGTTTAAAAGGGCCAGGGATGTAGCTCCAGTGGCATAGTGCCTGCCTGCAAGTGCAAAGTCCTGAGTTTGATTCCTGGTACCAAAAAAAAAAGTTGGCAACTGGTTATCCCAATGGGAAAACAACTGACCCTTCCTTGACACCACACACAAAAGGCAGTTCCTAGAACTATATTGAGGCCTTGGCCTACTGACCAAGGCTCACACGTATCTAAGAGGATGCCTGCCCCACCCCACAGTAAATCCCCAACTTCAGGGTCAATTGCATCCCCCAAGCACTGTCAGATCCAGGGTTGTGTTTGACCAGCTACCTGCTGGCCCAGTCAAGCTGACTCGTAAGAGTAACTATCACCGACAGTAATAAAAAGTTGCAGTGACAGAGGATTTGCTGCCAAGTAGTGACAGGAACTCTGAAGGCCATGAGAGCGGTGCACACAGGAGCAGCTTGGGGCTGAGGCCAGACACCCTGCAGGAGCCCAGCCTGAGGCGCACAAGGGGCTGAGGGGAGACAGGGTGCTGGACAAGAGTGCTCAGGAGGCAGCACTAGGCGGTGATGCAGGCAGACCACTGGGGAGACACCAGAGAAGCTATGGGACGATGGACCGGCCCACTGGAGCCTTCCTCCGGGCCCATCCAGTAGGAGGAAAGCTGGCAGGAGTGCAGAGGGGAGAGGGGTACACTAGCACTGGGAGTGCTCTCCAGAGCTGCTGACGGTAGGCAGTGCTGTCCACAAGGTCTAGCTTTATCCTTGCTCAACAGACAACAAGAAGTCAGTTCAGAGCCAGGCATTATTGAGCACACTCTAACCCCAGCACTGGAAGTAGGGGTAAGAGACAGATAGTGCAGGCCAAGCCCAGTGAGGCCCTGTCAAAAACATTTTAAAAGGGCTGGAGATGTAGCCCAGTGGAAAGGCCCTAGGTTCAATCTCAGTTCCAATCAGTGGAGCTGAATGAAAGTAAAGCATGTCAATTCATAGGCCACATCTAAAGCAGAAGGGTGTTAGCCCTGAAAGCTGTTTTTAAAAAAGTCTCAAACCTGCTTCAAGAGCTCCCCTCTTAATGAACTAGAAGACACAAGATGGCTCTTGCTGCTTTAATGTCATTTGTGGCATCTCCTGGTTTTTCATTGAGTACAGTCAGTCTTAAATGATTCTTCTTTGTATCATCTAGCAGCTGCTGAATTGATTTCTCATTGTCTTTTGTTTTTTTTTTTTTTTTTTCCTTTTGCTGTTTTTGAGAAATCTTTTTTCCTGGTCGCTCACTATAAGCCTGTAGAATCTGAGATCCTATCCTCACATTGACCTAACCTGCTTTGAATACTTCCCATGGAAATTTTATTCTGGATATCTGCTTGAATCTGCTTTATGGGCTCCATTTCTTTCCTATGCTGAGCTTCCATAATTTTCTTAAGCTCATCTGTTTTTGTCTGTATCTGCTGTCAAGTCACTAAGCATGGTCTTTATTTGAGAGATTATTTCTGATTTCATTTTTCCAGAGCCTCATTCAATTGCTTTGTTGTTGCCCATAAAAGAGGCCAGGTGGAGGGGCCGATTGTCCCAACTCACTGGCCCCTGGATTTGCTTTTGGTGAACTGGATAGGTGGGGTTGCATTTTGTTTAAGTAGCTTTTCACTTTTTCTTTTTTTAGTTTAATTCCTAGGGTGATGTTTATAAATTGCCTATGGTGAGGCAATTTATTGCTAGTATTAAGATCCCTAGATAATGGCTACTTCTCTGAAGTATCTTCCAAATGTAGCTGGTTTTTGGTTTTGGAATACCTTACCTCTGGGTTTGTTGAAGATGAGAAGTTGTTGTTTGTTTTGCCTAGTTCCTGGTTCTTTGGCACTGAAGTACCGTATTTTCTGTGACCCTTAGTCCATCTCAGTCATGGAATACTAGGACCAACAGCTGTTAGGAATAATTATGTCAGTTTGGCTATAGTGGTACCAATAGCATCTAACACATCCGGTCAAATCACAAACTGAGCTAACCCTTAATTTGCCACTTTTTTTTTTTTTTTTTGTCTTTTTCCTTTTTATCGGTACCAGGGATTGAACTCACGACTGCCTGCTTGCAAGGCAGGCGCTTATGCCGCTGAGCTAAATCCCCAGCCCCTAATTTGCCACTTTTAACCATATAAACTAGATTTGTGGTGATATAACAAAATCTGTGACCAGAAAATTATTTTGTAGTATACAAATCCATTTTGTCCTCAGGGTTAGAATTTAAAATGGATTATGGAGAAAAATACAGGAGTGGAAAAAGAGGAAGAGGTTAGAAGGTCGGAGGACAAGGTGATCATACCAACTTGGGGAAACCGATGCAGAAGACTGAAGGAAAAAGAGAGATGGAAGAGATAAAAGGAACAACACAACAGAACCACACCACAAGGAGGCTAAGAGCCAGGTTCACACTCACACATAAACAAGCTTGAACAATGGAGGAGAGGGGCTGGGGATTTAGCTCATCGGCGTAAGCGCCTGCCGTGCAAGTGTGTGGTCATGAGTTCGATCCCCAGTACCAATAAAAACAAAACAAAACAAAAACAATGAAAGAGAAAGAGAAAAAGTGTAAAGAAAAGGGGGAAAAAAGGAAGAAAATGTCCACTTTCAGAGTTCTCTCTGGGTTCAGTAGTAAACAATCTGTAGAGACAGATCTTGCTGATCTCTCCCAGCAAGCCAGCAGTAGCTTTTTGGTGGGGTAGTGGGTAATCTTAGCAGGCCTGCCAGAGACCAGACTCACTGGGCTCACCGCTGCCCAAGCAGTTTCTGTGGGTCTAGGCCCAGCTAGGATCTGCTAGACGGAGCCAGCAATAGTTCTGGGTTCTGAGCTCAGCTGGTCTGTCTCCAAGATGGCTCCCAGGCCAAACACTCTCTCCTGTAGGAGAACCCTCAGCACTCACCACCAGCCACTGCAGGCCTTCACATCTGCTGCTCCCCTCCATTGCCATGATTCTGAAGAGGCTCTTGGGGTCCCCATCCATCACCATCACTCTGGATCTGCAGATTTGAACTGCCCCTCATGCAATTAGTCCCATCTCAGGGAGAAGGCACCACCGGCTATCTCTTGTTAGTTGGAGTTTCTCTCTTCGCTCTCTCTGTGGGCTTCAGTTCGCACTTCAGATTCTTCCTGGGTCCACTGGACCAACTTCCCTCCTGCTTGTCTTTCTCATGATGCTATATTCCAGCAGCAGGACAGCAGCTCAGAGATGCTGTTTTCTCTGCTGCTTACTGCTCTGCCACCTTGGTCTCTCCTCTCTGGCTGTTTTTGTTGGCTGCTGCCATGAAGTTCTGCCTTCTGCCATGCCACCCTGCCTTGCAACCAGCTGATTATGGACTGAAACCTCCACAAACTGTGAGCTAAGTAAACCGTTCCTTCCTTCATTTTGGGCATCAGGTGTTTTGTTTCAGCAACAAGAGGAAGGTAAGACACTTTGTTATGGAAGAGTACTGCTCTATTGTGGATTTTTTAAAAAGCAGTCATTTTTTTAAACAACAAAATATATTTCTTACTGTCTTGGTTACACAAAGCAATCATGTATGGAAACAGGTACTAATAAAATTCTAAAAGTTAAAAATTATTTAATTATAATTATCTCTAGGTTTTAAATTACTGAGAAGTTCTAGCTTTCATTCATAGATTAGGGGGAAAGGAAAACTGTGCTGGGGTTGGCTCAGGCCTGGCAGGTGTCAGTCCCCAGGCCTCATCCCCAGCACCACAAAAAAAGGGATGGACACTGATGTTAGGACATTTTAACAGCATCCAACATCCAACCAGCCTAGGAGTCTTTGTAGAACTTAACAAACCGATTCTAAAATTATATTGAAATGTAGAGGATCTAGAAGAGCCAAAATAATTTTAAGGGAGATGAAAAATGTGAAAGACTTACCACTACCTGGATGAAGTTGTAGTGACACAGACAATGTGGAGAAAATGAGGCAAGGTTGCACTAAGAGGGGCAGACTCCACCTGCAATTCCTGCTCTACTCGGCCCCTCCCAGGTCCTGGTCTATGTGTATTTATTTTTGGCACTGGGATCCAGGGAGGTGTTCTTGCTGCTGAGCTAAATCCCCAGTTTCAGGTCTTCACTGTGCTGCCTGTGCTCACCTCCCATGTTCCTCCGCCCCTTCAATCCTCCACCAAGGTGCAAACTCCTACACCAGGTGCGTACTCCAGTACTTGCTATAGTATCATCATGGTCTCTTTCTGATTTACTTATTTTTGCAGTACTCTCCAGTGAATAGAACTCAAGGCTTTCACTGCAAGCTACAGCCCCAGATCTTGGTGATTTTTTACTTCGAGACAGGATTGCTATGTTGCTAACTTGCCCAGGCTGGCTCAAACTTGTGATTTGCCTGCCTCAGCCTCTCAGTGTGCTGGAATTACAAATATGCATCACTGCATGGGGCTCTTGGGTGTAGGAAGGAGTCCCAGGATTGGAACCTGGGTGCTTCTGATTTGAGTGTCTGACAGTTCCTTTGAGGCGCTCTCTGGGTCACTCACACCTCAAGTGCTGCCTAAGCACAGATTCCTGGGTGTTGCCTCATATCCTCAGGTTTGTTTTTTTTTTTAAGTGGTACGGGGGATCGAACTCACGACCTCACGTTTGCCAGGCAGGCACTTACACTGCTGAGCTAAATCACCAGCCCAGATATTTCTTGAATGTTAAGATACTACTGTATGGCTTCAACTCTGAGAATGGTCTCTCCCGGTTACTCCAAGCAGGAATCCATTCACCCATTCAGCCACATGTGCTTATAGTTAAGAGGCTTAGGCAGGAGGATCCCTTGAGTTCAGGACTTTGAGACCAGCCTGGGTAACATACAGTGACACCCCACCCTGGTCTAACAACAAAATGAAACAAGAATCCTGGGTCAAATTCACCTCAGAAAAGTGAAACAACGAAAGAACCACATTCTTTCACCTAAAACCACCAAAGTGAACCGGTGATATTTATTTAGTTTGTAAATATCCCTGCTGTATTGAAGTTTATATTCTAGACAGAGCAACAGATAAAAAGAAACCAATTTCTAAATGAATCCTTGCTCTCTTAGGAGAGAGGGTGCTGGGGGGAGGGGCAACATGTTTTTTTGGTTTGGTTTGGTTTGATGTTTTGAGACAAAGTCTTGCCATGCAGTCCAATCGGCCCTAGAATGCATGATGTAACCCAGACTGGCCTGAACTTGCGATCCTCTTGCCTCAGCCTCCAGAGCGTTGAGCTCACAGGTGTGTGCCACCCCGCCTGCCTGCAGTGAGATCTTTTCCTTGTGGATCACCAGGCCCAACCCTCATCACCCAGAAGCCCAGCGCCTGCCGGTTGTCATGCTCGCTAGGGGTTGGGCACACCGCCCAGAGGGTGCAGGCTGGGAGCAGGCGCACGCCAAGCACGGCTGTTGCGCATGCGCGCGCAGCGCAGGACACGCCCCGTGCTGGGCGCGCCCCCGGCGCCGTGCTGCGCGTGGGAGCGATGGGCGGGGCGGCCGGTTCGAGCTTTTTCTCTCGGCGCTCTGGGCCGTGACCCGGCCGCGCGCTGAGCGAGCCCTGGTCCTCTTGTTTTCGCACGGTCTGGATGCGTCAGTAAGTTCCCCTGCGGGACCCCTCCTGCCTCAGCCTCCCAAGGTGGGATCAGCCGGAGCCCGGGTGCGGACGCTGAGGACGTTTGGGCCGCGCCTCTGCAGCCGTCGACCGGGAGCCCCGCGTGGGCTTGGACGACCCCGCCGATTCACAAGGCGCGCGGCGCGGGGAGGCTGAGACAGGAGGCTCGCCAGAGCCCGGGAGCGGCCGAGCAGCCCGCGCGGCCCAGCAAGCCCCTGGCCGCGGAGACCTTTCCCGGCCCTCGCCGCTTCCTGGAAATGCAGGGTGCGAGGCAGGAGCGTCGTCGGCCGGTCCCGGTTCGTGGGGTGGCGTCTGCGGAGCGCGCGGGCTCGCCGCGCGGGAAGACCGAGGTTCGGGCCCCGCAGTCCGTCCCAACCGGTGCGGGGCTCGTCCGGAGGAGGCCGGGCCACAAGTACAAGGCAGTAGGCGTGCTCCGGCCGGCGCCGAGACGGGGGGCTGCGGGGCAGAATCCAGCCGAGGCCGAGCCCCGACCCTGCCACTGGGGTGCAGGGGAAAATGAGTCCAGGTGCTGGGGCCAAGCGGTGACACTCAGGGTTCCATCCCCAGCCCCTCCCCAAAACACGCACAGGCCAAGGCGACTATGTCGCGGTGATCGCAGTCAGGACTCGTTCTGACGACATCTGGACTTGCTCTCCCCGGGCTCTGCAGGGTTGTGCGCCCTTTAGAATAATTACTACTGTTTCTGGCGGTCGACGGTGTTACGCTTAAAGAACACGGAGTGAAGCTGACTGGGTCCCAGAGATTGGACTGTGCCGCTTGCAACAGGCTGCACGGCGCCCCGCCCCCCCCCCCCCCCCCGGCGGCTGCAGCGCGGACTCCCTCCTGGGAATGGGTGCAGGTCTGGTAAAACAGAAGTCGACCTGGGCCAGCGGCGGAAGCCCCAGGTGTTGATGTTCTGGTTTTGGTACCTGGAATCCAACTCATGATTTTGCCTTTGCCAGGCCGGTGCTGGTAGCTGAGCTGGGCTCCATCTCAGGTCCCAAGGGCGATGTGGTTTTTAAGCCATCTCCAAGTAGATGGATTTAAAGCTACAGTAGTTTTCTTTTCATTTTGTTTGTTTGGCAGTACGGGAATGGAATCAAGAATTTCCACAGAGCTACATCCCCAGCCTTATTTTGTTTTGAGACAGGGTCTCACTAGAATTTACGAATCTGTCTGTCTCTTGGCCTTAAATTCATGTCGCAACTCCTGCCTCAGCCTTTTGAGTGCTGGGATTACAGTTGTGAGCCACCATGCCCATATGAGTATATTTAACTTTTATGAGGTAATCAAACATTGCCTAAACCTGGCATGATGGTATATGCCAATAAATGTAGCATTTGTGAGGCTGAGGCAGAGGATCACGAGTTCTAGGCCAGCCTAGACTACATGGTGAGCCTCTGTCTCAAGAAGAACAAATGCTAGGTTGGGCGATGCCTGACCCCAAAAGTCCCAGCTACTCTGCTGGATGAGGTGAGATTGCTTGAGCCCAGGAGTTCAGGGCCAGCCTGTGTAACAGAGAAACAGAGTAACTAATTGAAATTTTTTAAAATATCTAAGGAGATAGAAATGTTAACCAACTCCCCTCATTTGCTCATTACACACTGTATTAAATATTCACAGAGTAACCCTAAGCTTTTGTGGTTAGTTACAATTAAAAATAACAGAGGGCTATGGATTTAGCTTAGTGACAAAGCACCAATCTACAAGCATGAGGCTGTGAGCTCAATTTCTGGTACCAAAAATAAAAATGAAACTTTAATTCTCATCCTGAATTTTGAACTAGAACCTTGTCACTGACCTACATCCCCAATCTCTTTTTTATTTTCAGGCAGGGTCTCACTAAGGCACCCCATACTGAGCTTGACCTTGGCATCCTCCTGCCTCAGCCTTCCAGAAAATGTTGCTGCAAAAAAAACCAAATTTTTTTAAAACTCTACAAAATGAAAATATTTACTAACTGACCCTTTACAGAAAACATTTGCCAAAAGCCCTCGTTGTGGTTTGATAATTCACAGTGACATGAAAAGTGGCTTGTCTTGCTTACTTTCCGCTCGCTGCTGGGACAAAATACCTGGCACCTAAAGGTATAGAAGGAAAGGTTTGTTTAGCTCACAGTTTGTGAAGGTTTCAGTTTGCAGTCAGCTGGCTCCAAGGCAGGAGGCGTGCCTGGCACAGGGGCAGCCCTTCAAGGCAGCAGAAGACAGCAAAAGCAACAGGAGGAAAGGGAGGAGCAAGCTTCTATCCCTCCCTTACGGTGTATGCAAACTGTATGCCGCTGTGCCCAGTGAATAATGGCCTAGTCTACGGCCATACACCCTGAACGCGCCCGATCTCGCCTGATCTCGGAAGCTAAGCAGGGTCGGGCCTGGTTAGTACTTGAGAGAACAATGGCCTAGAGTAAGGTCATGTCCTCCACACACCAGGATAGGTTACATGACTTGTTTTTCCATGAGTGTGGCTTCTCTGACTCGCCCCCCCCCTTCCTGAGCAGCTTCTGCAGCTCCCCCTGCACAGGGTCGCAGGCTGGGCCTCAGATGTGCTGTGTTCCTTCCCTGCCTCTGCGTGCCTTTTCTTCAGCCTCCACTGCAGCCCTGGGTACTGCCCTGCCTGGACCTCGCTGTGGCGAGGTGCAGGCTTGGCTTTGTGCAGCTGTTTTGGGGATGAGGTCCTCATTGAGATGGGGTGCTAATCTGATGGGCTGGTGGGAGGCCCCCAACACATGCTGTGGGACCTGGTTTGGAGAAGGAGGCCATGGCAGCCTGCAGGGACGGGGCCACCCCAAAAGCCAGAGTGAAAAGCTGGGGCTATGCAGTGCTCTCCTCCCTTAGGCTGATCGCCTCAGGGCTCTGTGTGCCCTGATGCCTGGTCCGCCTCCCAGTGCTGGTGTTACATGTGTGTACCACCTCGCCTCGTTGATTCTTTAGGAAGTGTTTGCATCTTTCTCAGCTACTTCTGAGCAGCTTTCTGTCCCCACCTCTCTAAGCAGGCACCTAGGCAGTATGATTGGTGCAACCTCGTAAAATGTGTGGTTGCCCCACGGTAACACTTAGTCAAAGCTGATTATAGCTTGGTATGTTTAATAAGCACCTTTGCTCCTCACAAGAGTCCTGTGAAGTTTGTTTTGTTGTCTCATTTAGAGATGGAGAAACTGAGTCCAGGTGATGGGATTTGCACAGTTACAGATCCATTGGAACAGCAGGTTCTGGGGAACCTAAATCCAAAATTTCAAAAGCAGTTCCACCTGGGTCTTTGCACACTTAGCCTTAAGGTTTAGCTTCATGGCCTTAAGGTTGATGTGCTTCCCATTCACACAGCCAGGAGCTTTGGGAATCCACAGCGGTATCTGACCACCACAGTTGCGGGGACTCAGACCCCATCAAGCCTCGTGGACACTGACAGCCAGCTGATTCGTGACCCATGTGCAGGACACGATGGTGTGATTGCTCTTTTTCAGAAGTTTCCACTCATTACTGCAAGGGTATTCACTGGGGTGGAGGTGGAATAAGGGTCCCCACAACTGCATTTTCGAGAAAGGGTGTTTGCCATGTGGATAACCACAGGGATGTCACCTGGGGAGGCATGTCACTGGGTGCTGTGCTGCTGTTGGTGTCTGAGCTCTGCCCTGTTCCCCCGTATACCACAGAGACTAAATACAAGGGCCCCTTTGCTAATGCTGCATCCACAGTGTCCTGGGAGATGCTGGCTGTAGGGTGACACGCACTCCTGCATACTGGGTGACCACCCCCTGGAAAGGGGGCCTCCCTCCAGGACTGTCCAGGTTCCACAGCAGAGGAAATACTGGTTTGTGGTACAGCTTCTGAGCACTATGCTGTGTTGATCTGGAGGGACCAGGGTTGGTGCCATCCCCTGCTTGCAGCAAGGATAGCCTGGTGCTCACAGTCCTGTTCTGGGGACAGAACGGCAGCACAGGAGGCTGGCACTTTGTGTGGGGCCCTGCAGAAGAACCCCTCCTGACCCCAGCTCCCAAAGGCTGCGGGCTGCAGCCGGAAGATGGGAAGGTACTTGGAGACCATGTGCTGGATGAATGCGAGGGTCTAGAAAAAGGTCTGCTTACTTCATACGATTCATACAGAAGTCTGCAGCTACTGCCAGCCACTGCTGACATGTTGGGTAAAGCCCGTCGCATGGCCTCTGGGTTCCTGGTTTTAATTCACCTTACACAGCACAAGGTGTTCTGCAGCTCGATCCATTCTCCAAGGCCCTGGTCTCGGCCCAGGCCCAAAGCTCATGCCTTTCACTTCTCAGAACCCGTTCAGCCAGGCCAAAGCCGAAGGTCAAAACAGAGCCATTAATGATAGTTAACGCTTACTGTTAATTGCACAAAGTGCTTCTTCAGTTTCTGTTGGCAATGGCTCTCCATCTCACTGAGCCAGGGAAGTGCGTCCAGCTCCAATTCACAGCCTGTACCGTCCTGCCTCAGGTTTTTCCTTCTGACGGTTGCCAGAACTCCAGGCTTATAATTTACAATTCAGACTGTGTGTCACTTTGAGAGAAACCCAAACTTAAAAAATAGGAATGCAAAACTCAGGAAAACACCAACCCAGATGATAAATCATGGTCAGATGTGGACACTGACGGTGCCTTGCATTCATTTCACCTGAGCGCAGCAGGTGCCCCCGCAGCCTTTGGCCTCCTTCCGTCTGTGACAGCTCCCTTGTCTCTTAGGTAAAATCTTGCTCTGCAACAGCCAGGACCAAGCTTGCCTGTGGGTCCCATATTCCCGAGATACTGTCACCCAGCACGCAGGAGGACTCAAAGTCTGAGCCCAGCCTGGCCAGTGTGACAAGGCCTAGGTGTCTGCGTGTCCCCAGGATCATCATCTGGTCACAGCTGGGGATGGGGGGGGTGACCGGATTATGGGCACCAGCATGGACCTGCTGTCCCTTAGCTGGGGTCTGGTTGGACGTAGGTGTCACTGGGAGCACCTGGCAGGGTGTCTCACTGCCTTCAGGTAAGCAGCTGGCCAGTACCCAGGGCCAAAACCCCTAAGTCACCAGTCCACTGTGACCCTCTCCTTCCTTAAATTGAAGGCACTTGATATTTTGTCCCACTGAGGAGGAAAGTGGCTGAGATACTGTGTCTCAAGATGACAGTGGGCCAGGACGTGACAGGAGGGGCACACACCCAGTGCTTCCCCAGTGCGGGGACGAGCAGGCTGGGTAGGCCAAGGCAGCTAGTGAGGAAGGCGCCCTCCCCTCCGGGGACAGCTGTTTCTCTGTCCCCTGAGGTTGTGTCCAGCATGTTTCCCAGCAGTCGCAGAGTGAAGGTGGGAGGGAGTTTGTGTGAGTCTCCGGTTCAAGTCACCTTTCCACCAACTCCAGGTCCCCATGAGCCTGAGGGTGAAGAGGGAAAACCCGGCCCTGGCTCAGACTTAGTTTCTCCCCCGCTGACAGACAACACCGATTCCGCAGCCATGCATGGGGCTTCCCTGAGCTCTGCGTGGCCTGCGCCAGTGGCTCCCTGGTTTGTTCCCTTCTCCCTTTGGTGCTGAGTCAAGAGCTTGGGTGATCGCTGCAGGCCAGCTGCCCCACAAGTGGTGTCATGGCTGCAGTGAGGGCTCCATTGCAGAACCGTGCCCTCTGATGTCCCCAGATGGGCTCACCTGCTTCCCACTAGACCGTTGAGGTCCCATGAATTTGTTCAACAGCTCACAAACTCAAGAGCTAACATTCAAGAGTTTATTTTAATTTTCCTCCTGCACTGAGGATTAAACCCAGGGCCCTCACAGTTACTTTCACAGCCTTAGTCCAGTTACCTGGCCTGGGCTCCAGCGTGGGGTCCTTCTGCCTCAGCCTCCCAGGGTGCTGAGGTTACAGGCATGCACTACCATGCCTGGCTTTACCAGTTTATTAGGAGGAATGGTACAAAGAGATGAAGAAAAGCCCAGGGGAGCATGCAGGAACGGTCCCCTCCCAGCACCTAGGCCTGCTGGATGGTCCCCAGACTGGCTTTGGGTCTGCCTGAAGCAGCAGCACAGCAGGCTCACAGCTGGCAGGGACCCCGCAAGGCCTGTCTGCCCACATTCCTCAGCAAGCCTGGTCCTACCTGCAAAGACGGTGGTTCGGAGAGGTGCTTTGGGTGGGGGTGGTAGAGTAGGCAGACCGGAGACTGATCAGAGCCCCAACACTGTTCTACTCACTTAGACCTAGGGAGCCAGGAGCCAGGAGCCAGGAGCCAGGGGTGAAGACCAAACCATCAGCACCGCAAAGGAAGAGTGCAAACAGGTTTCCTACAGAAGTAACCTCACCTTCACCGACCAGGCGAGCTCAGCCTCTGCCTGAGGCCTGGGCTTCCCCCTCCTGGTTGGCCCTGGGGTTTCAGTTTGTCTGCACTACAACTGCCAGAGTCAGCGCTTTAACATGGGTCTTTTCCTAGGCCAAGAACAAGGAAGGACAGGAGCCTGTAATCTCAGGGACTCTGGAGGCTGAGGCAGGAGGATAGAAAGTAACAGCCCAGCCTTTCTCATATCACAAGGGCGGGAGATACAGCTTAGTAGCAGAGCATTTCCTTACATACAAGAGACTTTGGGCTCAGTGCCTAGTTCCATACCAAATATTTAAGTAAACATAAATAAAACCTTTTACTAGAATTACGTACAAGCATCATCTGTCGGTTTTGTTTCTCTAGAAAAGTACCTGTTATGCCCCAGCACAGGATCTGCTGGAAGCTGGGCTTTTGTATAGGAAGCAGCTCCTCTAGAGGGGGGACTGCAGATGGATCACCAGTGTGGAGCTAAAGCCAGGCCAGCCCTGAGACCAGGGAGAGCCCCCAGCAGGAAAACCAGCTGTTCCAGCTTGGAGAAGGCAGGGGCCCAGGCCAGCCAGGCAAACAAACTGCTAAGCAGAGGGGGTGAAACTGACCTCCTCCTCCTTCCTGAGTGTATAAATAAAGCTGCTCCAGTGGCTGAGCAGGCCCTTTCCTCCCATCAGGAGAGGGCTCCATCAGGACTCGGTTTTCCTCTTTATTTTCCCATCCTCTCCTTGTCCTGGTTCATGGCGGTTCCCTATCTAAATCTGACAGAGCAACTGCCAGCCCACATCCTTGTTCTGTTGGCTGTGTACATCCTATCCTTCCTTCAGTGGCCAGGTTTTCTTCCTAACTGCCTGCGTTAGTTTTCTATTACTCCTGTAAAGATTACCAATCTATAAAGATAGTGGCTGAAAGCAAGGCACATTCCTTCTCTCACAGCTCGGAAGATCAGAAGTCCAAAGTGAGTCTCACTGGACACACAGCGAGGTACCAGCAGTCAGGCTGCTGTGGCACCAGCCTGTGCTCCCCGATCCTCCAGAAGGGAAGGCAAGGAAAATGGCTGATCCTGGATTCAAAACCAGCCTGGGTGACACAGTTAGGGTTGTCTGTCAAAACATAAATAAAATCATTTAAAAACAAAAAAAAGCTGTATGTGGTGGTATCTGTTTTATCTGTTTCTATTTCCAGCACTCTGGGAGGCTGAAACTGGAGTTCAAGCTTGGCCTAGGCAACTTTAGCAAGCTCCTGTCTCAAAAACTAAAAAGGGCCGGGGTATAGCTCAGTGTGAAGGCCCTGGGCTCAAGCTTGTAGTGCTACAAAATACAAATAAATCTCTCCCCATTTTATAAGACCAGCATCAGCAGGCCCCTTCTGAGGAGGCTTTGTCGCTTTCTAGGCCTCCTGTGTCCCTGGTTTCACAGCCTGTGTGTCCATGTCACACGTGGCCTGATCTGCCTGCCATGGTTGGGGGCATCTCCAGCCCAGTGTGGAACTCCCCAGCCAGAGCAGATGGTCCGCACTGCAGTGTGCTCACTCGGCTAACCTCAAGGGCCCTCTCCTGTCGCCCAGCACACGGCCTCCAGGATCCCCTGGGGAACCTGTCTCCAAATCCTCTGCTGTCACCTAGGGGATCCGAAGTCCCTCAGCAGCCCTGCACCTGACCTGTCTGTGCAGTTCACTCAGCTCTCACTGCTTTCATGGCCTGGCCTGGAGGCCATCTCAGGAAGACTGCACCTGGGACACCTGGTCCCCTCTGTGCTGCTCTCAACACCACTGCATCTCCCTGGGCTTCGCTCTGTCAGCCGCACAGACTCTTCGTCCTACCTGCTGCTCACCTGGCTCCCCACTCCAACACACTGAGCGCCTGCTGTACAGCACAAGGCACAGACCTCCTTGACCTGCTAGTGCAGGCCTCTAATCCCCATCCTCAGGAGGCCCAAGCAGGGCCATTGCCAGTGTGAGGCTGCCTGGGCTACACAGTGAGTTCAAGTCCAGCCTGAACTGCATAGCAAGACCCTGTCTCAAAAAAAATAAAATGAAAAATTTCTTTGACCTTTCATCCCTGTCTAAGTCTATGCTTACTTTTCTTTCCCCAAGTCAGGTCTGATCACCTTTTTCCTTAACCTGCTCATTTATTTTCTGGTTTTCCCAGCCTCAGTTTATGTGACTACACTCTTGTTTTGTTTTGTTTTTGAGGCAAGGTTTCACTATGTAGTTCAGGCTGAAGTGAGTTTATTATGTAGCCTAAGGTGGCCTCAAATTTGTGGCAGTCCTGCCTCAGCTTCCCAAGTGCTGGAATTGCAAGTGTGCGCTCGTATGCCAGACTTTACACTCTAGAACACAGATCTGTTCCAGAACTTCTGCTCATCATATACATTTAGTCAGTCATCAAGTCCTGGTTCACTTCTCAAACATCTCCCCATTCTCGGGGTGGGGTAGAGTTTGGTGGTGCCACATTCCCAGTGCTGCAAAATACCTCCTGTTAATGGTCCTTACACATATTGTGGCTAAACTTTGGGAATGTGATTTCACAGTGTAAAGTGACTTGCTCACTTCTGCCCCCTTCCTTGCTGGGGATCAAACAGACCCTGTGCACTAAACCAGAGCCCCACTACTGAGCTACATCCCCAGCCATCTTTCCTCATTTTACTGTGTCCCTAGACTTCAAAATGAGTCTAGCTAGTGTGCTGCCACATGCCTGTAAACCCAGCTGCTTGGCAGGCAGAAGCAAAAGCATCAAAGGTTCAAGTCCCACCTGGTGAACTTAGTGAGACTCTATCTCAAAATAAAGAATAAAATGTCCTGGGGATACAGCTCATCGGTAGAGTGCTTTGTCAGGCTTGCATATGGCCTTGGATTCAGTCCTCAGTACTTCAAAACAAATACAAACAAACGGAATCACTGGACCGACCGATCTGCTCAGATACTTTAACGGCTCCTTTGCCTACAGCTGAAGCCACAGCTCCCAGGTCCTCTGAGATTCCCCACCAGGTCCCCGAAGGTCCAACTGTATGCTCAGTATTCCCCTTATTCAGCATGGCCCTTGAGGATGGCACGTGTCTGCCTCCTACTTACTGGCTTCTGCAGTTCCTGCTGCATGAGCAACCCCGTTTTTATTTTTCCATAGGAGCTCTTGTGTGGGAAACCACCCAGATGACTCTTCTTGGAAAGAAGAGCAGCTGTCTCCATTTTGGATAAACTTGGCCCTATCTCCATGTACTGATGTGTACAGAGCTGGCTGGGCTATTTCCTTGTTCCTTCAACTGGCTTTAAGCAATGTAAACTGGGCTGGCTGAGGAGCTGATGTGTAACCTCTGAAGCAAAGTGACAGGTCAGAGTTACCCCACTCAGTGACTCCCCAAATACATCGATGAGCCAGGCAGGATGGTCACCTGGGACTGAGCCTCGAAAAAGAGGCTCGGATTTCCCAGAGCAAAAGGATTGGACATCAGAACTAAAGCACTGACCTCAAATTATTAGCTGCTACCTCAGTTGTTATGCAGATTGCTCTGTCTGCATTTCTTGCCCTCTGCTTATCACAGAGATGATCTCAGACCTACCTAGCCCAGCCCGCAGAAGTCATGGCAGTTATGAATTTCCCTCCACTCTCACTGTCACTCATCCTGAGCCACTCCCCTCATGGAGAATTAATAAAACCTGATTGGCTCTGGGTTGGGGCCTTTGTTCTGGTGAACCACCATCTTGGCTGGACTGAGGACTCCTTGGCTCCCCACAATTGTGTGTGTGTGTATATATGTGTATATATATATATATATATATATATATATATATATATATTAGTGTCTTTATTCTCACTGTAGGTTGCACTGAAGTAGTAGATTGGAATTAATTTACTAGAATTCCAATAACTACTCCATGGGATTACAAATATAAACCTTCCTGGACCACGACGAGGATGGATAAGGGTTCTCTATACTCTTGTGCATAATTTATCAAATTAGGCTTAAATAGTGTTGGTGTGTTTGCAGTGCAGGGTCTTGCACATATGGAGCATGCAGTCTGCCACTGAGCTGTGCCTCATCCTGGGGCTCTGAAACAATCTATTTACCTATCTGACTTCCTACATTTGCCTCAGGCATGGATCCTCTGGCTCATATCCAAACAAGGGTGAGTACACATCATTGGGTGCAGGACCTGGATTCCTTTATTCTGGGTACTTAGATTTTTTTTTTTTTTTTTTTTTTTTTTGGTAACTATTTTGTGTAATGAGCCAGAAGCTCCTGATAGATAGGAAGACTATCTTGTACTATTGTGTCTGTTTATCATATAGCTTCATATATGCACTACAAAGATAATTAGTGATTGTCTTGGTCACTTTACTGGCCATTGAGACATAATACCTAACACCCACACCTTACAGGAGAGGTTTATTTTGGCTCGCAGTCTGAGGATGTTTCAGTTGATACTTAGCTGGCTCTGAGGTAGAAGAGCACATTGGAGGGGGCTGATGGAGGAAAGGTGCTACTCTCAGGGCACCCAGGAAGCAGACAGCAAAGGGAGGAACAGGAAGAAAGACATCCTTCCAGGGCACCTCCACTGACCTGCCTCTTCAGACAGCCCCACCTCCCAGCATCATACCGAGCTTTCACACCCCACAATCAAACATCTTTTCAAATCCTATCTTTGAGAGCATGAGGCTTGGCAGGGGAAGCATCCAGTATAAACCATAACATTCCAACCTGCCCCTAAAAGATTCATGTGTATCTCTTCATGCACTAAGTCCATCTCTGAGTTGCCAAACTCCTAACAATTCCACCACTGCCAAAAAGTCCAAATCTAAAGTCTCCTCTGACCATTGATGGAATGTCCACTTTACAAGCTTTAATTTTGTGACTTGAACAATTATTTCTAAGATGACAATATGTAATCCATTAACTAGTGATTTCCTACTGTTCATTTTTTTCTGTAAATCTGTATAACTTGTACCCTTTCCCTGCTTTTTTTTCTTCTTTTCTCCTTAAATAAAATTAAAAAAATAAAAAATAAAAAATAAAGTCTCCTCTGAGTGCCTGCCTAGCATGCATGAAGATTTGGGTTCAATCTGCAGAGCACCCCACAAACAGACAAGTAAATAAATAAATAAAATACAACACATACATAAAAAAAGTTCTCGGGGCTGGGGATTTAGCTCAGCGGCATAAGCGCCTACCTTGCAAGCAGGCAGTTGTGGGTTCGATCCCTGGTACCGATAAAAAAGAAAAAAAAAGTCTCCTCTGAGATTCAAGGCAAACTCTCAGCTATGACCCTCTGTAAAAATAAGAAAGAAGTTACTGATACACAATGGCCTAAGATAAACGCCCCACTTCAAAAGGGAGAAACAGAGGGATAGAAACCAGTGGGACAAATTAAGGCTAAAACCCAGCAAGGCAAACATTGAATCCTAGAGCTCCACATTTAGCAACCAAGGCAAGTTGTGGTGAGATATAAACTCCAAAGATCGTGAGCAGTCCCACTCCATAACACTGTTGGTGGCCATAGCTCTCATGGCTTCTCTTGTCTTGCTTTGCTCTCTCTTTGAGACATTTCTCAGACATTTCAACTTCCTGGGGCTCTCCACTGCACTTTTGATTCCACTCACACAGCTTCAGGGCACTGCCTTCTCAGGGGCATTCTGCCTGGCTTCCTATGCCTTCTGGAATCTGAATGCAAGTGTGTATGATCCCACAACTCTTGAAATGTGTATGCTTGAAAAACCAGCATCATGTTGGTAACACAAAGGTCTGCGGCTGGCTCCAGCAGTAGCCAAGCCCTTTTGCATCATGGCTGCAGCAGTCCCTGATTGTCTGGATGGCTGAGAACTATGAATGGAATCCTACAAAGCTAATTTCCTAAGAGACTTCCTGGAACAGAGTACCCTGGGCATTCTTCTCAAAGCAGTCTTTTACTTTTCCACCCTTGAGTCTACAAAAGGTGGGGTCTTTCATACTCCTCTGATGCTCTCAAGACATCATTTATAGTGTCCTGATGTGGGTTTCTTTTTAATACTAATCTTTTCAGGAATCAAGCTCTCTTTGCTCCAATTAACAGGCCCCAAATTTACAGGACTTCTCTCTCTGATGAAACTCAAAACCTTAAAAATCACCCAGCTGTGCCATTTGCTCTTGATTCTCAGTGTAAAACTGGCT